AATATTACAACTTGTTTGTCTATTGTCTTAACACAAGCAAACATACAAAAACTTAAATAAAGTGTAAAATTAGCTATGTTTATTAGATCAGATTATTAGATTTCTAATTGAAATGTGACCACGCCTTCAATGCCATCATTTAACAATTGACAGACACTTTGATACAGCAGACACCTTTTCAGTGTATGAGATTTAACACCCAGTATTTGGTATCACATTTAGCTGACCCCGTGCTGCCCTATTCTTCCAGCCCATATCTCCCATAATCCACCACTATTTGTGCATAACATGGCACTGTGGTTGCTGTTGCATCAGTGCTTCATCCTGCTCAGTGAGGTCAGTCTGGGACACCTCCCAGTGTTTTGTGATATGTGAATGATGGAGCCCCTCTGGCACTTAATGGCAGTTGTAGGACTCCCTGCAAACTCTTTCCACATGCCAGAGGACAGGATACAGTAAATCAAACTGTAGAGATGAATCTAGAGAGATCAATATTTTAGTTTCGTCACACCTTGAAAGAAGAGTTTGAAGAATTTTACAATTTCAAAGGCAGGGATCTGACGGGGGATGCTGTAAATGTCAGAAAGGTCTTGAGGACTGTGTTCAGTATATTCTGAGGGGTCCGCCGCCTCTCTCATGTTGCAGATAACTTCACTCTCAAGTCACGCATCAATGACTTTTGCTGCTATCAGGGTTTGATATGGCAATTACTCTGTGTGTGTGTGTGTGTGTGTGTGTGTGTGTGTGTGTGTTTGTGTTTTTATGAGTCTGGTCCTAATTAGCACTATGGGTTTGATAATTATTGTAATAAGTAAATTGCCTCAGAGTTGGTAGATAATGAGTTTCTGACTTTGTGTCTGTGTGTCTGACAGAACTAGGTTTAGGACCCCTCACAAAAGATGAGGGTAATGATTGTGGATACCATGGTTTTACCTGTATTGGTGTAGAAAGATTAGGCATTTACAAAGAAGCACTATAAAATTGAGAAGTGTGTGTGTGTGTGTTTTGTGTGTGTGTGTGTGTGTGCCTTCTACTGTTTAGTCCCCCGGGTATTTAAACCATTTTCCTATTAGTGTGCATAGATGAGAAGAGATAGACGTCTTAATTTGCCGCATCAGGGATCCACAATCTGCTTCTCTGTGTTTCTCTCTCCGCCTCTGTCTCATACAGACATTTCATCGTGGTGTTATGAGCTATTTTTAGTCGCAAATGTCTTTTAGTGAGTGTGCGGTCTGGATCTTTGTGTGTATGATGTGTGTGTGTGTGTGTGTGTGTGTGTGTGTGTATGGTGTGTGTATGGTGTGTGTGTGTGCTATGTTTTTTGTTCTGATCAATGGTATGGATCCCATCTTTTGTGGGTGCAGCTGGCTTATATGTTCATCCAGCTGAGCCTTGGTGTAATTGTGTGTGTGTGTGTGTGTGTGTGTGTGTGTGTGTGTGTGTGTGTGTGTGTGTGTGTGAATTGATTATTTATAGCTGTTCCATTTCTTCTCCCTCTGGATCACTGTCAGGCTGTCATTGTTGTTTTAATGTCTCTTTGTATGTGTGTTTGTCTATTCACATCTGATGCACAGTGATAATGGAGAGGACGCTCAGAAGAAGAATGTAGAACATTAAAGCTAGACACACATATTTGGTCATGTGATATTGAGGGCAGCGGAAAAAGATGATTTCCTGAGTCTTTCTATAATGTTTTTGATCAGTTGATAGTTTAATGTATAGAATGTCTTGCTTTATCTGACCTACAGTCCGGAAAAAAAATATGACCTTTACAATAACATCAAACAAAGAAAAGCGTCACATTTCATGTCATTAGCGTTGATAATATTTTTTTATATATAGACGAGGTTGTGGGGTCCGTTGAACAAGTTTAAATATGGCACAAAGCCTGCTACTGGCACTACACACAAAATGTTTTTTTTGTTTGTTTTCTTTTTTTTACAAATTCTGAATATACAAAGAAAGACACCTAATAATCCATGACGGCCAGAGTGAAAACATAATTTGACTGAAGACTGTCTACAGCCATGCTGGAAGATTTAAAAGTGTACAGTGGTGCTTTGAGCTGAATGCTAACATTGGCATGCTAACTTAGTAATTATAGTATAGTATTACCAAACATGTTGATGGGCATAATGTTTACCATGTTCGCCATCTCAGTGTAGTGTCGTCAGCATGCGATCATTTCCCTCATTAGTACCAAACACAGAGTCCAGCTGAGTCTGATGAGGATGGCATTAGTTCAGCGGGAGGTAAACCTGATAATGGTGCTAGAGAAAGAACCAGGGGACCATTAATGTCTGTGCTAATATTTTATTGAAATTCCTCCTGTAATTGTTGCTATATTTCAGTGTGACATTACCATCCCTAGAGCCATACTGCTAGCATGTCTAAACGCTAAATAAACCAAAAATAACTGGTTGTTGCCAATTCATTTCCACTGTGGCTAAAATAGAAGAAGGAAAATCACCATTCAGAAAGTATTTGTGCGTATTTTCTTTTTACTGTAAATGATGATGAAAAGTTAATTATCTTAATGGGGAAAGGACTGACGATTAAAAAATGTGTTGTCTCAAAGAGATTCTGAGTAAATGGATGTGATACTTACCCCACTACAGTGTATTTTCTTTCTTTCTTTCTTTTGAATGTCTGCTGTCAAGCGTCTAAACTTGACACTCCTGACCTATAAATATTGAGTGAAATGAGTGTAAACAAAGAAAAGGAGAGAAGAATGACCTCCAACCCTTTTACGATACAGCTGCAGCTCACACGTGCACACACACACACACACACACACACACACACACACACACACACACACACACACACACACACACACACACACACACACACACACACTCTCCTTTTTCTGATGAGTCCTTTGTGCAGAGCCAACGCACTCCTCCTTTGCTGTATCTAATTTATGTTAATAATTGGCTTAAACTGCACTCATATAGGTTCTGTGGTTTTAGATACATTACCTCAGTGTCAAGGTCACTTCCAGTAATAAAAGGGACTCATCTGTCTGCAAGCTGCTTTCTATGTCACACTGTCTATCTGTCATTAGGTGGCTGGGGGTTTGTATGCTACTGCTGTTAAATTGCTCTATTCTAATTCCTTCCTGGAACACCCTCTTCAATGATACCTCAAGGCCTGAAAGAGGGCCAAAAAATACTGTTGTCTGCTGTGTGTGTATGTTTCTGCAGCACCATAATGATGTGTGGTGAAAGGATTATTGTGAGGGTGGGTGGTGGGTGTGGTTCTTAATGCTTGAGAGGAACCATGTGTGAATTGAAGATAGAACAGTAAGTTGTTTTTGAACTGTGTGTGTACAGTATTTATTTCTGGAGTTACTGTGTGTGTCTTTGTGATGTGCCCACTGTCCCTGGAGCAGCTGTGTGTGGTTGAGGATTTGTCTTGTGTTTTTATGAATGTGTACAGTATGTGTGTGTCTTTGTTGCAGTATCCCATTGGGAGTCTCTGGTGCTGTCTCAGTGTGCGGGGGAGTTGATTTGCATCCCCTGAAGATTTAACTGGGGGGTTTTAGCATGTGGAGAGGTGGACCCAGTTCTCCGATACTGCTGGCTCATGGCTTTTTCCGCAGCTTAAAGTGATTACCTCCCCACTGTGTCCACATTGTACCTCTGAAAGCCCAAGATTAACAGTCCGCCGTGTGACAGATCTTCTGTTTTATGTACATTGCGTTAGAGCAGCGTTATGCCCTCAGTTTTCTCCACAAGGCTTTCTCACAATTAAGAAGCGCTGCGGCACAAGCAAAAAGTGTCACTTATTTTACATATCCGCTAATCAGCCATCTTTTGCCTGCGAGACTTTCTGCCGTTCTGCTGGCAAACATGTTAAAATGATGCTAAATTTAAATACTCGGCCCTCATTCTGTCACCGAGTTCAAGGATATTCAGGCTGGTGGTGGCTGCTTTTCTGTGGACTTATCTAATCAGGGATTATTTTACAACAGGGATGTCAGGTGAAAGCAATTAACTGCAATGAACTACCTGTCAGGGTGGAAAGCCCAGCAGAACTCTGAGTTCCTGAGCAGCAGGATTAACAGCTGATGTAATAATGATTTATCAGCCAAGGTTTGACTTATCATCAGTGGTCCTACTTGCACTAGTTTATCTCAGAGCTGTCCATTTTATTACTCACTTCCTTTTTTAAATCAACAGCACAAACAAGTGTGCTGAGGTGTGTGCTTTGTCCTCAGTGTTGTTCTTCTGTTACAGATTTCTGTTAAGTTCCACACTATAAAGTTGTGTGCATGTCTTGTTCGTCTTAGTGAATCAGGACACAGGTTTGAACACGTCTGCTCCACTTTCCTTTAATGTCCCTTTTTGGAAAAGCTGTCTTTGAGGACAATGGGAATGGGTAAACACGTGTTATGTTGTAGTTGAGTGAATCGAGTTGAATTGCATTGTGGTGCCAGGTTTTTGTCAAGCAAGAAGAACGCATTGGCTTGTGCACAGATTGTTGTCCTTTTTTTTTTAAACTGTCCATCGTGAGTCTGACAGTGTTATAGGAGTACAATGCTTTGTTTTGTGCCAAAACACTTAAAACATGCAGCAAGCTTGTAGTAAACAATTACACTGGATTCCAGTGTGGACCAAGTTTCATAGTGAAATAAAAGTTGCAAAATGTCAATAATGTCAAGTAACATCAGAAAACAGATTGCAAATGAGTTTGGATTTATCTCGTTAGAGCTGTCTTTGATTAAATGTCTACTATGATAAATCATGTTGTGTTTTTAAGGTCATATTACTTGAACAGATTATTATTTTACAGTCTGGGCTTTGATGCGGGCGTCTTTCCATTATCCCTTCATAATTTGCTGTTACATTCTCACTGTTTATTGTTTACACTTGAAATTATCCTGAGGTCAAACCAGAGCATATCTAGTGCGTGGCTCAGATTGTCATGCTGGATCTGCACACTACATTGCAGATATTTACTGACTCTTTCTCTCTCCTCTTCTTCTCTCCTCTCAGGATTCGTCCTCAGATGGCAAAGGAGAAGATAGAGGGATGCCATGTGTGCACGCTGGTCACACCTGGAGAACCGCAAGTCCTCCTGGGAAAGGACAAGGCCTTTACCTATGACTTTGTGTTTGACATCAACTCAGAGCAGCAGAACATCTATCAGGCCTGTGTGTACAAGCTCATCGAGGGCTGCTTCGAGGGCTACAATGCCACCGTGTTCGCTTATGGTCAGGTATGACGCGGAGGCTTGGATTTTAATATTAGGGATTTTAAATGATTAATTAATCAAATAGAGTGTTCATAGCTTTTTGAATTATTTATAAATTTTTTTAATGTGAACTGCTGTTTTAATATATTCACTATTTTGTTTGGAAAAGCTCTGTGGCTGTGTGATTATATTCTAATTAATAAAGTGATCAAGATTACACTCCATCTGAGCATAATACATCTTCAACACACAGTCAAGATAGGCCCAGTGGGCATTTAATCCACACTTCCAAGGCTATCTTGGAAAAACAATGATATATGTTTTCTTAATTGATCTGTTTTTATGTCTTGGAGCTGAAAATAAATATTGCAAATTAAAGCATTTACTAGGGGGTGGTGACATTGTTTATAAAGCATACAATGTGCTATGGCATTCCCAACTCTAATATTGTAATGTAGAGTCATTTTAAGTGTGTGTTGAGTAAGTTTTGTATAGAATATTATCTGGTTATATTTACTGCTGTTATATTTTATTGTGATTTTTTTCTCCTGAAATGACAAAAGCAGAAAGTATAGAGTTTTCTGGGGAATGTCCATATCAAGATTGGGAATGCGTGATGTTTGCGAGTACACAGTAAATGTGATCTTACGTGGTAGATGAAATGTGTTCCAGACGGGTTCGGGGAAGACCTACACCATGGGGACGGGCTTCGATGTGGGCCTAAGCCAGCAGGAGCAAGGCATCATCCCGCGGGCTGTTCACCACCTGTTTGAGGGAATACAGAACAGGAGGGTGCGCGCCCAAGAGTCCGGCAGCCAGCCACCAGAGTTTAAAGTCACCGCCCAGTTCCTAGAGGTGGGCGTCACACTCATGTAGAGTGTATGTGTGTGGATGTAGACCACATGTACAACCACGCTGTAACAAATTCTTGCTTCATCTCATATTTGAACAGGGCAGTGTGTGTGTGTGTGTGTGTGTGTGTGTGTGTGTGTGTGTGTGTGTGTGTGTGTGTGTGTGTGTGTGTGTGTGTGTGTGTGTGTGTGTGTGTGTGTGTGTGTGTGTGTGTGTGTGTGTGTGTGTGTGTGTGTGTGTGTGGATGGATATTGGTCCATATTAACTCTAACCAGATGGGACAAAAAGTAGAGACGAGAGGATCAGCCCCCTCTCCCACAAACAGGAAGTGACAACCCAATGACAGATGGGCAGGAATGTCTGCTTGTGCTTTGTTGGTCCTGATTAATGTTGGCCATTACCTCTGACATTATTCCTCATCAATGTGGGGTAGAAGATGGATAAGAGCCAGGAATAAGACGGAGGGAGGGGATGCTTGTGTAGGAGCAATGAGATAATATGACAAGTAATGATTTCCTCCAGAGGTTTCTGGCAGGCAAGTGTTTGGGTTGTCTTTGGGGGAGGCAGATGATTGTATACGTGGGTGTGTGTACAATCTGATTACTTTAATGATCATTCTCTAATAACAATTCTGATAAGTAATTTTTCTTTCTTTTCTGCCTTTCCTGCTCTTTGTTGTTAGTATGGTTAGTAGTCAGGTCAAAATGTTATCTCTGTTGATGGTAAACAGATGCAGCTGACCTCTGCGGCCTTTGGCCCTCATTGGTTTCTGAGAGGTCATTTTTTTGACCTGTGTGTAAATAAGAAAGACAGCTATGAGAAAAGGAGAGAATAGATGACATCATTAAGTTTAATGTTTAATATTGCCATAGAATTGGGGTGTATATAAATTATACAATGATGCATATGTTTGGCTTACAGTTGTACAACGAAGAGATCCTGGACTTGTTTGATGGATCCAGAGATCCAGAGAGTCGCAGCAGGAAGTCTAACATTAAAATCCACGAGGATGCCAGCGGCAGCATCTACACCACTGGAGTCACCTCCAGGCTGGTGCACTCAGAGGAGGAGGTGGGTGCATGTGTGTTTGTGTTGTTATTTGTATCGTATGTGTGTGTCACCAGCAGTCATCACTCTTACATTTGATCAGTCTTTTTCAATATGAGGTATTTTTGTACACGGTACACACTACACAGTAAGTGCTCTGCTAATGTTTCTTGGTCTAAATGTCATAAAACTAAAGTTATAATTAGCCATTTATTTTTTTAATGCAGTACTTTTTTCAGAGCTTACTTTTTGCTTTGATTTTTTACAAAAAGCACATTTAATAATGTACTCATTAGGTTTCAGTCCAGCAAAAATGCCTCCATTTTCCTAATAAATTCTGATCAGTCATCTTAAATTTCACGTAGAAACTCAAACAAAATAAGAAAACTGGAAGTTTTACAAGTTTATTAAGTGCTTGGTATTTTCAAGGAGCCAAAATAAAAGAGAATTAAAGAAACTCGGATCATAAATGCTTTAAAAAGTAGATTCATCATGTAGAAATGAGTGGAATTGTATCACAGAAGAATAACTGTGAAGAGAAATGCTGAGTTGTAGAGGCAGAGCGTGGGAGCTGCCAGAGATCCCCAGCGCCCCGGAAAGTCTGGCAAGAACCATCTGGTGGTCAGTCGTCAAAAACAAGAAATAGGTCGAGGATAACAAGGGAGACTTGGCTCCGACATGCTGCCTTAAAGCCAGGCTGCTTAAACCCATGATGCTATTTTGTGTGAGCGATACCAGTCTGCAGTATTTGATGCAAGACTGTCTGAAGGTAGTTGAGGGAGAAACCGCCAGATATCAGGGTTGAGTAATCATTGTCAGGAAGGGGAACAGAACAGCAGTGACAGTGTGGAAAAGGGAGGATTCGATGGGGTCAAGAGGGCAGGAGGACTGTTTGCTAGTGGAGATGTGAGGTGCTAGGGACAAAGAGGTTAACGGAAGTGGCAGGTGGTGATTTCGGGGGGAGGGCTACAGTAAATGCTGTCTGGGAGAAGACGCTTGTTATTGTTTGGTTTCTTCTTAAATAGGTGATGAAGCAGAAAGAAAGAGGAGAGCAGACTGTTAAATGGAAGCAGAAAGAAAGGAGAAGAAGCTAAATTTTGAAGTGGTCATCCGTGTATTAAATTCTCAAAAATTCAGACAGCTGAGAGACAAGTAGAGACAGATGGACTTTCCTGTGGGGGGGGGGGGGGAAGAGAATGTCCAAACATGGTGAGGGAGGAGATGGAGGCATGGAGGTGATGGAGTGTGAGAAGAGACGAGGAGTCAGGTTGAGAGTAAAAGGGAGGGTAGGACTCGTCAGTGGGGCAAAAATAAGCAGAAAATCTTGCAGTTGCAGCATTTTGATTGTGTAGAGAAGTAGAAAAGCTCAAAATATGTTTAAGTTTGAAGTCAACCACATGAGTGGTTTCCCACCCCCATACAATTTGCTGACACCGGTGTTGAGCTCTTCTCAGAAATCAGCAAGTGTTCCACAAAATAACATGGTGTGTCAACAGTTAATATTTGTTTTTGTTACTGAATCTTTTTTCAATCATAACCAAATGTTGTCCATATTGTGTGCATGTGTGTGTGCTGCAGATGCTGCAGTGTCTGAAGCTCGGTGCTCTGTCCCGCACCACAGCCAGCACCCAGATGAATGCCCAAAGCTCCCGCTCGCATGCCATCTTCACCATCCACCTCTGTCAGATGAGAGTGTGCCAGCAGCCACAAATGGTGAGATTGGGGTTTGGAGAGGTGGAGGGGTGGAGGGTGCAGTGGCCCACGGTTCGTATCTGACCTGTGGCCCTGTGCGTGTCATCGCCTCTCTCTCTCTCCCACTTTCCTGTCACTCTTAAGCTGTCACTATCGATTAAAGGTATTAAATGCCCAAAAATATATTTTAAAAAATCATAATCGTTCTCTTTTCGGTGATGATATATGTCAGCTAGTTGAGGAAGTAGGTATGGGGGTATGGGGGGATTCAAAAAATAACAGAAAATGTATTTAGTAATGCAGTCATAGTGGAATCAAAGGTAATGCAATAATTGCTTTTTTCAAGGAAGGCACTCCACCTCATAAACCCATTCTGAACTGTTTTTTGTCCACTCCATGCCAACAGAATGGAGGAGCAGAGAACGGAGGAGGAGAGAATGGGGAGCTGAACGGTGTTGACTCCAGCCCCATTGCCCAGCCAGAATTCGAGACGCTGATGGCCAAGTTCCACTTTGTTGACCTGGCTGGCTCTGAGAGGCTGAAACGCACAGGAGCGACCGGAGAGAGAGCCCGCGAGGGAATCTCTATCAACTGTGGACTGGTGAGACAGACAGAAATAGAAAATGTCTGTGTGTGTGTTCATATGGGGGTGGTATGATAGAAAGTCAACTCTTCCACCGTCTCTTTGTACTCTTGTGTATTTAAATATTAGCTTGTGATCAATTTCTGAATGTGTGTTTGTTTTGTAGCTGGCTCTAGGAAATGTGATCAGTGCTTTAGGAGACCAGGCTAAGAAGGGAGGGCACGTCCCTTACAGAGACTCCAAACTCACTCGTCTGCTACAGGACTCACTGGGAGGCAACAGGTACACAGACACCACCCCTCCTAGTGCTCTTCGTTAGTTATTGACTGCAGTTAAAAAGTCATATCAACAGGGTTTCTGTTGTGCTCATGATAACACCAAGAAATGTTTCTCACAACCTCAACATATACTGTATGCACATTTGTCTACAACCTTCATATTTCCCTCATCTCCAGTCGCACAGTGATGATCGCCTGCATCAGTCCGTCAGACCGGGACTTCATGGAGACGCTGAACACATTGAAGTATGCCAACCGTGCCCGAAACATCAAAAACAAGGTGGTGGTGAACCAAGATAAGACCAGCCAGCAGATCAGCGCCATGCGTGCTGAGATAGCCCGGCTTCAGATGGAACTGATGGAGTACAAGGCGGTGAGAGATGGAAACATTGTGGGGGAGAGAAATGAAAAAAAAATATTTTAAAAAATAAAGACATGGAGTAGCTCAGGGAAAAAGATGAGAGGGGCTGAATGACAGTGGGGAAGAGATGAGGAATGAAAATTGGCAGGTTGAAGAAGAGAGCTAACGCATGCCTGTCAGTGTAACTGATGCAATGAGGCCGTAAGAGAGGGGTGAATGGGGTGACATGATGGATGAAGCTGAGAATAGTAACTGAGCAGAAGAAGAAAAAAGACAACACTAATGGGAGTAAGTGAAGATGGTATTGGAGGGTGAGCAGAGGCCATTCCTGCAGCAGCAGCAGCATCTGATTGCTATATCAAATTAAAGATCTTTACTGGCACACGCATCCATTTATGCCTTTACTATAGTGCCCGAGTATGAAGAAGATTAATCGGTGCAATGTCAGCATTTTACAAAGTAATGCAGAGGTAAATTGATCCTCTAGCTGAATGTGCTTGTGCTGAGAAGCGCTGTATGTGCTCTGTGTGACGTGGTTATGTTAGGTTACCTATTAGGGGCCATTATGCAGTAAAAAGAGTGGGGAATGATTCAAGAAAATATAACAAGGAATAGGGTGAAAATCCAAGTAATTTCTCATCACTTTTTCATCTGCATTGACCTTCGGGGTTACAAGAAACGAGCGATCATTTAGCAGGGTTGTCAGTCTATTATGTGATTAAGGGGTATTACCACGTTTACTAGAAGGAAGTGAATGCGTGACTGTGACGAGGGACTGCGAGCTGACCTCGATGTGGTAATAAGCGATGCAATGTGACTGGAGTCTGGAAGTAATGGAGTGTTGGATTGGTGGAGGTAATGATGTCTGCGAGCTATGACTGGATTAAATAATGACTCTCTGTTCGACGCTTACACAACAGGATTCTTTCAGCGTTAAACATTCAGAATACGACAATAGCTGCTTGAAGAGCCACAGACAGACCAACTCATTTGAAACAAAAGCATTGTGTTCGGTTGGACTGTAAACATCAAGTATATGTAAGAGTGTGGATTCAGAATCAGTTTTAGTTTTCAGGTTTTTTGGCCCTAATATTTGTCTTTTTCCCTAGAATGTGCTGACTGTTTGCTTCTCTGTGCAGGGGAAGCGTGTGGCATGTGAGGAAGGTTCGGAGGGCTACAGCGACCTGTATCAGGAGAACGCCATGCTGCAGAGAGAAAACGACACACTGCGGCTCAGGGTAAAGGCCATGCAGGAGACCATTGACCACCTCAACACCCGTGTGACACATCTGCTGGCCAATGAGGTCAGCACTCTGCTGACCAAGTCAAGTACGTGAACTCTGTTTCTTTCAAGTTTACCATTTTAAATCTGACTTTAATTTGTATTTATGTATTAAAATTACTTATAATTTCCAGTGATGCGTCCTTGTGCGAGTGCTTTCTGTGACCTGAGCCTCACTCTCACCCTTTTGACCCGTAGGTGAGGGGAATGAGGAGATCGGGGCTTTAATCCAGAACTACATCCGAGAGGTTGAAGAACTTAGGTAAGTGCTCCAAACTCTGTTGGAAGTCTTTATTTACTGCCATCACTCCTAGTATTACACTGAAACCTCACTGAAATTAGCAAACCTGACATTGGGACACTTACTTTACAAACTGTTTGACCTGACTTAGGACATTCTTTGCTGGAGTACACTTTTGTGATTTCTTGCCAAGAATTAGAAGAGGTGATCTATAGTACTGTAATTTCTGTCTGTTCACTATGTCGCTGGAGTCTGAAGCCTGCTAGCTAAGCTCAGCATAAAGCCCAGAAACAAGGTTTTTGGTGGAGAAACAACTGATCTGGCTGTGTCTGTCGGTAAAAGGTCCACCTACCAGCACCTCTAAAGCTCAGTAATTAACATGTAATGGTGGATTTTGTTACCTTTGGATGGAGCTACACTAGCTGTTCCTCCCTGCTTTCAGTTTTAATGTTAAGCTAAGCTAACTGACTCCTTTTTTTAAGTGTACACTTTAAGATAGATAGATAGCTAGATAGATAGATAGATAGATAGATAGATAGATAGATAGATACTTTATTTATCTGAGGGAAATTCAAGTACTCAGTAGCATACAAAACATAATTACATACATTAAACATACATTAAATTAAAATTAAAAATGAAGTTGACTTATAACACAGTAGCCACAGTAAACAGTGCAAAACAGTAAACAGTACAAATGGAGTGCAAATGGAGGTAGATATTGTCCGTTGTCTATTAAGTGTAAAATCAGCAAATCCTACCTTCAATGCAAGATCACATAACATTTGTTGAACAACAGCCAATGTGACCACAAATGACAATTATGGGATAATGGTAAATAGTTCTACAGATATATAGTTAGCTAACATCAGCTGAAATAAACTACCATGTGTTACTGGTCATACGGACCAAGCAAGGCTAAGTGTATTGACTTGAAGAAGGGTTTGTTTAATCTCTTATGAATTTAACTTTTAATTTGTAACACTGGTGGTATTGAATGTTTTCCATCCCTCACTTCCTTCTCTGTCAGAACTAAGCTCCTTGAGAGCGAGGCCATGAACGAGTCGCTGCGACGACAGGCGGCTCGGATTTCCTCTCGTTCCTCGTTCCCTTCCTCCACTCTCAGCCCCACCCCCGGCCACCCGCCTGGCTCCTCCCCTGCTCCGATGTCCATGGAGGCCGAGATGACAGACGTGTTACGCCGGGCCAAGATGGACATCGAGAGGCTGAAGAAGAAGGAGAGGAGGCAGAGGAGGATGAGGTGAGGAGGACACATTTAAGATTTTACCTCACATTGACATCCAAAAAAAAAAAGATAAACAAGTGTTCCAGGAAGCGCTTATGTCCTCATGGATCCAAGCATCCCAGCTTGATGTAAATTTAATTTCTCATTGCTCCTATTAAGCCTTCGTCAATGAACCAGTGCATGTTTTAAAAGCTAAGAGAGCATGAGGAGTACATTATAGTTCCTGCCCATCATTGCTTCTCTCCTCTAGCTTAAGAGACACGGCACAAGTCGATTAGAGCTTTGGGATGGCCGGCTTCTAGATATAATTGGGATGCAGCCAGTGCTAGTAGTAATGCTGGCTTGGACACAAAAAGGTTTTAATTCAGTGGGCCAGTGGGTCATGAGAGAGAAGAGTACACAGCCTAACCGGCTAATTGAGGTTTAATGGGACAGAGATGGGACTTTAGGAATGGGATGGGAAATAAGCGGGTTGGTTGTCAAAGAGACTGCAAAGGGGAGAATAAAATTGGCAATAAAATTTGAAGAGCTAAAAGGGGAAGATAGGGGATAGATGAGCTGAAGAAGACTTTGCTAATGACTTCAGAGGTCTGATTTTGCTGTGAGAACATCACTTGGCAGCATTCCCAAAGCCCTAATGGTGGTTGTTAGGATTGTGTGACATCTCACTTACATGAAAGGGAGCATTTGTAATACATGCAAATGGACAAGAAACACTGTAGTTGAACTGAATGGACAGGCCACAGGTGGAAATAGTAAAGGAATTTGATGCTATTTTTTGAAAAACATATTGACTTTACTTTATATACACTTTATTTGCATCTGCAAGGTGTGACCTGGCTTAACAATTGTGCTTTTTTAACTCCTGTAGTCCAGAGTTGGAGAAAGGGCTGAAGAAACGAGTGAAACTGCACAATCATGAGAATGGAGAGAACGGCCAAAGTCGTGAAAACGGACAGAATGGAGAGATTGATTCAGACGACAACTACACTGAGGTAAGCTACACGTGTCAGCATTCATTCAAGAGTTTAAAACAAAAACAAACAGAACAACGTCTAACGCATCTGTGTGTTTGTGTGCATAGGACATCATGTCTCCACTACAGGAGGAGAGTGGTTGTGATGAAGATGAGGGGGAGGATGAGGAGGAGGGCAGGGAGGAGGAGGAGGACGAGTTTGACAGTGATGAGAGCCTGGTGGATTCGGACTCGGACTCTGATGAGAAAGGTGTGTTTCTGACAGCAGATTCCACAAAACGACCAGACCTTTCCCCCTCCTGTGTCTTGTTTTTAGTCAGTGTCGGTCCATCACTTTGATTGAGCCTGAAATATCTCAGCTACTGTTGGATGGACTGCCAGAGGATGAATCCCGATGACACTAGTGCCATCAGCTGGTCAGAGTTGTGACATATTCAGTGAAATATCTCAACATCTATTAGGCGAATTGGCACACAATTTTGTACAGACATGAATGACTTTTGACATCTGCTGACTTCTCCTCCAGCGCCACCATCTGATCTAAATAATCTAAATTAAGATGATCTAAATCTAAATAATTTATCATTTATCATTTATTTACCAAATACCTGAAAAACTAATCTAACTAATCCTTGTTCTACTGACATTATGCTGTTTGCTAGATGGTTGACAGTGAAGACAGTAGAAGACATTTGTAATGTAGAGCTGAAGCAACACTAGAAACAATCAATGCGTAAAGTTTAGATTTGATATCACAATAAAGAACAGACAGTGAATTAAGACTTCAATTTGGGTTGTGGCAGCCTGTTTCTGACATTTGCTGCTATTCATTTCATTAACCTGAAAAAATGTTTAATGTATTTGTAACTCTTCTTTAAGCAGCCAATTTCCAGGCGGACCTTGCCGATCTGACCTGCGAGATCGAGATCAAGCAGAAGCTGATAGACGAGCTGGAGAACAGCCAGCGGAGGTTGCTGTTGCTGAAGCTGCAGTACGAGGAGAAGCTCATTCTTCTGCAGAACAAGATCCGAGACACTCAGCTGGAGAGAGACCGCGTACTGCAAAACCTCAGTGAGTTAATGCATCTCAGGGTTTGTAGTTTACACATGTGGCTGGGTTGTTGAGAAAACCCAGAAGTTATTAGATCAGTAGAACGTTTCATTAAAGGTAAAACACAGGTCATTTAACGTTATTACGTGGCTCCACAGTGTCCATGGAGAACTACACGGAGGAGAAGGCCAGCCGGATCAAGCAGGAATATGAGAAACGTCTCAAGGAGATGAACCGAGATCTGCTGAAGCTACAAGCAGCACAGAAAGAGCATGCGCGTCTCCTCAAAAACCAGGGGCGGTACGAACGGGAGCTGAAGAAACTGCAGTTAGAGGTCAACGATATGAAAAAAGCTAAGGTAAGGTGGGAGGAAGGAGAGTCAGTGGGGAGGAATGAATGACATTGTTTGAGCAGGAATACTAGTGCAGTTTAAACTTGACCTCTCTGCTATTCCCAGGTCACACTGATGAAGCAGATGAAGGAGGAGCAGCAGAGGAGGAGAATGGTGGAGGCAAAGAGGAACCGTGAGATCGCCCAGCTCAAGAAGGAGCAGCGACGACAAGAGGTTAGACTACTTTAGCAACCTTTAGCACACATATTTACAGACGGTATGAGCGGTGTTCTTTAGGACCCTCTTGAATCTGTTATACTGTTGTCAGAATGGTCCGAATTCTAATTTCACTCCTGTATTTGAAGAATGATTCATGCTGGTGAGTTGGCGTGGACGCTTGCATACATGTGTGCAAATGCACAGTCAGGTTCTCCATCTGTCTGTCTGCTTGGCACATTAAAGACCTGTTTTATGTATCCTGTACATATTTCACACAGATTTTGGTATCGCTTTTATGTTTTAAAGATTAGTATTTACTCTACATGTATTAATTCCCATCTTTATTTGTTTTCCCTGGAGGAGAGGGCTTATTAATGAGCATGGGCACATTTACACTGTCATACCGTGGGCCTAATTCCTAATCCTTTTATTTAGGGTTTCGTCTCAAAATCCTTTCATGATCAACACTTTGTAAGCCTGTTGTGCAAAAAGCTTAGGAATCTAATTCATGTTTGAAGGAAAAATACAAAATGTAGACGAAGGCTGAATAACAAACAAACTGAAGAACTGCTTCCCTCCCCCCTGCCCATCAGTACCAGATTCGAGCGCTGGAGTCTCAGAAGCGGCAGCAGGAGCTGGTGCTGCGCCGGAAGACTCAGGAGGTGACCGCCTTGCGCCGCCTGGCCAAGCCCATGTCAGATCGCGTGGCCGGGCGTGTGGCTCGCTGGAACCACAACCCCACAGTTACAGACTCTGGAGCTGAGTTATCAGCCAGCACTACAGCAAGCAGCTCCGAACCTGAGACTGCGAGGACTGTGAGCGGGCTGGTGAGACAGTGGAACAACAAAAACAATGTGTTTGGATACCTGGGAGAGAGTGAAGGGAGCATGGATGGAACCAGGGTCATTGGGTAAGATGGGTTGATGTATTCAATGTATAACCTCTACTTTACATATGTTTGTGTTAACACTGTCATTCAAGCGGCTGAAGATTACCCTTTTTAAGTCCCACGCCTTTTGGAACCTCTGTCAGCTTCCTCCTTTCCTGTACTTAGATATGCCAGGCTCGTGAAGATGGAAGCAACATATATATAGTCACATCTGAAATGCTAGCTTATTTACATCAGGCTTTTTGGCACTCAACTTCACTGTTTTTTGGTTAACTCACACCTTTCTCATAGTGCTATTTTCAGCAGTAGCAGGCAGTGGCAATGCTTATTTGAAGCTTTTGGTCAGTGTTTAGCTTTAAGGCTGTTGACTGTTGGTTGATGACAGTCCATTTAACTCTTTATACTTTCTAAATCTCGTGATTTCTACCTCTCCTATTTTCCCCTTGGGGTTGCATCTGTCATATCTTTCTCTCCTCTCTCTTGGTCTCCTCCCAGCAGTAGGAAGAAGTTGCAGCGTAAGCCTGGAGGCCTTGGCAGCAGTGGAGCGGCAGGCAGAGCAAGCAGTTTCTCCAAGTCCGCCCGTCAGAAGTGGCAATCCCTCGAGCGTCGCATTATGGACATTGTCATGCAGAGAATGACAATTGCTAATGTGGAAGCTGACATGGATCGCCTTATCAGGGTAGAAATAGCCTTCGTATTTTTATTCTAGATAAAGCAGTACTGATAAATAGTACTGGTTTGGTGGGTATAGAGTAAAATACCATCATTATGGTTGTACTGTTAAATCGGGACATGGCTTTAAACCTGGACGTGATCATGGAGGATATGGAAAAATGTGTTTTGTGATAACTCAAACCAATATACATTGTAAGAGGAGCAGCAGTATTAGTGGTGATTAAATTAAACACGAGGAATCAAAATTGTACTGTAGTAGTAGTAGTAGTGGTAATATAGTGCAAAGGTAATGGCAGTAGAAATGTCTGAACTTTGCAGCTTAGTTTCCTTTTGGTTGACCTCATCACATTAGTTAATAACTGAAACCAAATTCAGTGACGCTCTTCCTTCCTCCTTTCTACATAGACTTGTTAAAACCATGCACTACAATTAGACATTACATATCTTTCTTTGAAAAGGGTAAAATTAGTAAGTTGAAAAAAAGTTTCCTAATGTGTCCTTATCCTTAGCATCTGCATATTTTTTGTACGTTTAGCTCTGACTTGTTTTTTTTTTTTTTTTTGCTGTGTGTGTGTTTCTGTTTTTGATGAGTCAGAAGCGAGAGGAGCTGACGGTCCAGCAGGAATCGCTCTCACACAAGAGGGAGGTACTAATGGCGGACGGAGAGGGACCAGAAGCAGAGGACCGCCTCCTTCAGGAAATTAATGAGGAGATTGAGGTGCTGAATGCCAATATAGACTATATCAATGACAGCCTGTCTGACTGCCAAGCCACCATTGTACAGATAGAAGAGACCAAGGTATGAACACACACGCACACACACACGGTAATGCTTACTGTTCAGCTGTGAGAACTAACTGTAAGAAGGCCCTTAGTAATGCCTTGAACTGTGTTTTCCTTCAGGATGAGCTGGACTCGGTGGACACATCTGTCGTGATAAGCTCCTGCTCTCTGGCTGAAGCACGCAACCTGCTGGACCACTTCCTGAAGGCTTCCATAGACAAAGTGAGTTTGCATATAACAGAAAGCACTAGGTGTTTTTTTGCAGGCTTACAAACATTTGGAAAATCAATAGTGTTAAAGCAATTTAAATTTCCACTCACTTCAGTCACAATTTGAAGAAAATATGTAGCTTAAAAAAAAAAAAAGATAAAAGCATATATGGACCTAATAGATGAGTTTGAATACAAAACCTAAACCAGAAATCATTTTTCAAAACTGTAATCATGTTCACAACCTGAACTCCCTAGAAGCCAGTGAGGTCCAGTGAACAATGGTTGCAGGGCCATCTAGCGGTGTCTCTTTGTACTGCAATATGATGTCAGGGGTGAATTTCTTGGTACAAAAGATCAATAAACACCTTACAGAAAATGAAAACACTATATTTACTAGGTAGTCTCATTTCCTGTTGTGCGGTCAAGTCTGAAGTCTAAAGGTTAAGTATTACATTAATGTGTGTGTGTGTGTGCGTGTGTGCGTGTGTGTGTGTGTGCGTGTGCGTGTGCGTGTGTGTGTGTGTGTGTGTGTGTGTGTGTGTGTGTGTGTGTGTGTGTGTGTACAGAGTTTACAGGTGGCTCAGAAGGAGGCTCAGATCAGACTGCTGGAGGGTCAGCTGAGACAGACAGACGTGATTGGCTCATCCCACAATCACATTATCCTCGATGCCCTGCGAGAAAAGGCAGAATACATACCTGAACTCCAGGCTCTCATCCACAATGTACAGCAGGGTGAGTGTTGTGCTTTTTTTGTGCTTTGGTCTGTGTGACAGTGTGTAAGAGTGTATACAGTATGTTCCTTTGCTGCTGTCACCCTTTGTCTTTGATCTTAATTTAACACAGTTTTACATGCAAACCATTTCTCTTAACCTGTTAGTTTCATGTCAAAAGGGGATCTCATGTATAAAAGTATAAAAGCTGTTATTATTGTGCTTGACCATACTGCTTTCCAGTAAATCATACTGTACACCTCTAAATACAATACCAAAAAAAGTTTCAGATTAGAACATCTCTCTTAATCATCCCCTTGCATTCTCTCTTGTGTTGTCTTTTCAGCAATGTTTTGATGCATAGGATCATAAAATCTGTTTACAAGAACAGAAAATAATGACCTCAGATATGAATTAAAACTGACATTTCAGTGAAAGATACTTTGGAAAATTGGAAAATGTGGCTGTGAGTAAGTAATGAACATACAGACAAGTGTATGTGTGCTGTGCTGAAGTTGCATGTTTTGTGTGCTTCCAGAAAATGGTTACGCCAGCACAGACGAGGAGCCCTCGGAGTTCAGCCAAGCTTCTGACAGCAGGTGAGACTGCAGTCTGCTCGCCCACACAACATCCTCAATAAACAACATCCTCCTCTCACCTTGGCCCTCTTTTTTAAAAAGCTTTCACTATAGTCTGCTAAAAAATAACGTGATGGCACAGTCAGGTTTGGTATGGTTTGTTACATAGAACCATCTGGGAAGATGCTGTTGGAAACTGTTTGAAAAAGGGCAAACACTTTCACAAAATACTCAGCAGGTGATTGGAAGACCTGTCTGTTATCGTCTATCACAGGCAAACTTCAACCAGTCAGATCAATGAAGCACATAGTCAAACTCTTACCGAAGTCAGTCGGAAGAAGAGCGAAAACACATTTTCCACCGAGAAAAACCTTCAGTGCCGTCCTTTGCTCTTCCTTCAGTGAAGAAATACTCTCCAGTTCTGATATAACTGATGCCAGCAGCATCTTCTCATTAAAGGCAGGGAGGCCAATAGATAATAGACAATTTTTACCTGTATTTGCACATCCATTTGCACTGTTTTACTTCCATTTGCAGTGCTTACTGTTTGCACTGTTTACTGTAGCTACTGTTAATTTTATATATTATATATATATATTTCACCTTCTATTTTATTTTTAATTCTATTCTTAAGGTTAGGGATTTTAATTTTAGTCTAATGTATGTTTAATGTATGTTTTGTATTTTGTATGCTAATGGATACTTGAATTTCCCTCGGGATAAATAAAGTATCTATCTATCTATCTATCTATCTATCTATCTATCTATCTATCTATCTATCTATCTATCTATCTCTCTCTCTCTCTCTCTCTCTCTCTCTCTCTCTCTCTCTCTCTCTCTGTCTGTCTGTCTGTCTGTCTGTCTGTCTGTCTGTCTGTCTGTCTGTCTGTCTGTCTGTCTGTCTGTCTACGCTAACCTCTTTAGCAGCCGCCATTGTTGTATTTGAGCGATTTCTCACACACACCGATTGTAAAACCACACACTGTGGTTGGACACACTTGAATCCTGGCAAAATCTTGCATGATCTGATGATTTTGTGATCTCTTGCAGGGTTAGGGTTAGCTAAAAGTGGTCTTATTTTGTAAATGCTCATCTGAACTCATTATGTTTCTTATTTCTCTCTGTATACATGTTTATTTCCCTAACCTGTCCTTTTCTCTCTTTCTGCAGTGTATCTCAAATGAAAGAATCCAACAGCCAAGATGATTTCAAGATGAAGGTACAGCTGGTTTGTCATGTTGCAGTGCATAGCTGTTATTTAGTCTAATCTTTAAGTCCACGTTCTTGCTGGTTACACAAGAAAGGTGTCCTTTGTCCAGTCCAGATGTTAACATTACCTCCATATATTTGTGTTTGTGTCAGTGCTCAAAACATCAGGTAGTGCTGTGTCTTGCAGTATCCAAGCCTGTCAGACCTTTATTAATCACGCTGATGCTGCATATTGTCAGATGATGTTAATGTTTTTGCTGCAGTGATTGTGTTTAGACCCTTTAGACTTTAGTTGTCATTCTTGTTTGAAACCATGAGGTGGCAGTAAAAGCAAGCAGTTAAAAATTCTTCTGCTGCTTAATGCTTGGTTTTATATTCTGGGAGGAACCCCTGATTTGACACCAATCCCTCTTATCCTCTTGTTAATGCTGTGTTCTCTATTCTTTAGTGTGTTTTCAGTTATTGTTTTTCTCAATCAGCCTTACTCCGACCTCACAATGGGTGCTTTCTCATTTCTTACTGGTTTCATATTCTCTTTGCCCCTTTCTCTTCTCAATGGTGTTTTCAGGCTGTATGTTAATTTCCTCTTGTGCCTTAATTAAATTCAATCTGTATCTTTATTTTATATCCCAGTGCCGCGCTGCTTCCTCATTTCATTCTCCCTTCAGTCTCCCTTCAGTAGTCCTCTGTAACACAAATGGTGCATATTTTCTACCCAGATTGAGCCTCGTCTGTCAGCTCAGATGAAGGCGGTGTCTGCGGAGTATCTGGGTCCCATCCTGGACCCCACATCAGGCGGCAAGCAGCAGCACATCACCAAGTCTCTGGCCTCGCTGACGGACATCCAGGAGGATGGCCTGAGCCTGGCGACAGCGAGTCTGGGGCTCAGCCTGGCCCTACGAGACCCCTACCACAGGGACCGAGCGTCCCGCACCATCAGCCTACCTATCAGGGGACACACCTTGTAAGTGAATCCTAATGATAACTGAGACGAAGCTGGGACAAGGCTTGTCCTTCAAGTGTTACCAGGAAGGGGGAGATGATGGAGGCTTGGGTCTTGTATTTTAGCCATGTTGAATTTTGCCAGCACCTCACAACAAGTAAGCATTGTGCTGCACTCTCTACTACAGAGGTTCTCAACTTTTTTTGCCTGATTTCTGTCAGACAAAGTCGCCTTCATTGACAACAGAACCATTATCACTTTGCTTACTTTTAACTCTATGTTACCTACTAACTACTTATGCACATTTAAATCCCAACATGTAGTGTTCAGGTATGACAGGATATATACTCTGCTACTCTACAAATCTTTCCAAATTTCCCCTGGGGTGCAAGTACCCCTGGGTTGGGAATTACTGCTCTACTATGTAGGACAGCAGGATGGCCTGTAGGTTAGAGTCTTCTTCAGATAGAGAACCAGTCGCATCCCCACGTTGGTAAACATTTGTTCCGCTCAAGTGCCCTTCAGTTTGACAATATAAACATAAAGAATGTTATTGAGATAAACAAACAAGCTGGATAGAAACATGAGGAAAATTGCATAACCATGAGTAAACACGCTATGGAATATCACAAATACATCAACAATAGAAAAGAACATTTTATTTCCTGATAACTAAGTTGTCAAAACATTTTTTGTGACTATTTCCAGGCTGCACACTTCCAAACTAACAACCTCTGGAAAGCTGCCAGAGGCCTGACATTTTTTAGGTTATGAAACTGCTTCAGGGGAGGGAAAAGGAGGAATCGATGAAATTTACATCAGTCCTCTGGGATGGGAAGCCTGTTTGTGTGTGATTTGATATTTAAAGAAATGAGCCTGCCAGTTGCTTTAGTCTGCTAGAAATGTTGTTCAATTGCATAAAGCCCTTGTTGCTTATAGATCCCCAACAGTTTACATAGATGTGTATCATCCTCCTGTGCACTCCCTTGAAGATTTGCTTAGTTTGCTTTTGTGTGTGTGTGTGTGTGTGTGTGTGTGTGTGTGTGTGTGTGTGTGTGTGTGTATGTGTGTGTCAGTCCCAGGCAGTCTCGGGGTTATGACACTTCCCCTATAACAAGGAGGAAATCATACGACCGTGCGTACAGGTACATGCCCCGCAATGCTCAAATTCATTCTCTAGGCACTTTTTTTTTTTTTTACTGTTTTATGTATTTTTTATACTACTTCCTTCTTAACTCTTCTTGTCCTTCCCTATTCTTAACCTTCCTCACCCTCCCACCACCGATCAGGCCCACTGACGGCTACACTCCCCCCTCCTCCCCTCCTCTGAGGACCAGGAACGACCGTAACGTCTTCTCAAGGCTCACCAGCAACCAAAGCCAAGGCTCTGCTCTAGACAAGTGAGTACACACTTGCACAGGTACACACATTCACATGCTGCTTTTGTCCTTTTGTCCCCACATTCTCATCTTATCGATTCAGTCTCACTTTGACTGAATGAACCATTCCTTTCTTTTCTTTTCTTCTTTTCTGTGGTTTAAAGTCTGACCCTGTCGATAGGTTTCAGGTCAGGCCTTTTGAGCAGAAAGTGCTTTTGTCCGCGGTGTAGATGAGCTGCTTAAGAGCCTGCTATTCCAGCTGTTTATCTTCAGATGAATCCTACTCTAAGACAAAAATACTTTTCATCTGGCATTACTGTAGTTTCTGGGGGGGGGACAGATGGTGCAAACATTCACAGAATCCAGGTGTTAAATCCACTCAAGAGGCATTGAAGATATGATAATCAAAACCACAACCACAGGCTACTCAGAGCTGCATTTAGCAACAATAACAACAAGGTGTAATTGCAGTGTTTGCAATCCATATATAGGAGTTACCAGGAGACAAATGCAAATGAGGGGCGGGGTAGTAACATCCTCTGTAGAAACAAACTGTCAGGGGTATTTGTGGTTAGGGGGGAAAGCAAGATCTGCATTCATCAGCTTGTATGATCTATTTTAATCTGATAACATACAGCCCTGCAATAAATCTTATCTCATACTATTCAGGTTTGTTGACACAATGACAAAGAAAATTTGATTTAAATTTATGGTAATTTTTTAGGCTTGTAGTTGGTTTATGGTGTCAAATTGGCCCATTTTTAATGTTGTTTTTTCATCCTATTTACATACATGTGTAAGTGTGTAGCTACATCAGATGGAGACACAATGTGGATATGAGATGCATGTTAATGTCAGCTTCGAAGGTGCCAAGACAGGAACGAGCTACCGGCTTTTTCCCTTCCTGCTCACAGTCAATTCCAGCTTTCCCTTTCTGACAAATGTCAGCAGTTAATTTGAGTTGGCGTTTAGCTCGGCTGTAAAGTTGTTTGTTTTGTAATCTTTATTAATCCGGAACATTTCTCAGCTTTATTGACCCATAATTGTTAACGGGAATGCTGTGTGGAACTGAGAGTTAGGGTGTTTGTGTTTGGTGCAATGTGTGTGAATACTTTTGAGTGTGTGTGTGAGCTGGTGGGTCCTCATTATCTGGAGCAGGGGTAGGTAAATGAGTTGGCTCTTGTCATCTTTCCTTGCAGCTGTTGTCATTGGTGGCCATTTTGAATTGACTCAGGGTGACAGTGTGGGAGGATATTTATGTTAAGGGTTTTGTATGTAGGTCCCAGAGGACAGCCTTTCTATTGAGGATGAGGCAGGGGGATGAAATGGCGTGAGGTTTTTCCCCTTTATCTTTTGTTGCAGGAAGCATTTTCACTATTCACAATTTGATGAAAATATTCATTTGGTCATTTGCACTTTCAGTGAGGTGAATGTATGTTTACAATTTATTTATCTTTACCAAAGATTCATCATTTAAACCTTCATTTTCATTCTGTTTGGTTTCATTCTATTTACATTACTGGCACTGACCTAAGTCTGACACTTCATTCATCATCATAAGCATGAATTCAAAGCTAAATGAAGCTAATTTATTAAAAACTAATTAGAAAGACAGTCTGAATTGTCTGTATGAATTCTGTGTAATTGGGTGTAAATGAGAAACTGTCTGCTCTGCAAAGAGAATATAGTGATGTTCTCAAGTACATCTTTGCAAGTTCACAAAACCTATTAAAATGCAATAGGACGTTTTTGTAATTGTCACTTTATCTGCTTGTTTTTTGACTGGTTCATGACTGACTGAATTGCCTGTGAGACTGGAATCAAGCATTTGACACACATTGTAAAGATGCATGAAAATTAATTTCAAGTAAAGTTTTCTTGTCATCTGTTGAGGCTTTGAATGCCAGATCAATTTCTTTAGACTTCACATAATATTTGCATCCTGCAAAACCAATGAATTTTTAAAAAGGATTTTGTCTTTTGTCTAAAATAAAAGCGGTTATTACTATGCTAATAGCCACAATGACCTGCAGTAAATACCAAGAAATAGAGGAATTTCAATCACCTTTTAACACTGTTCCTCCCTTCAGACATATCAAGAACCATTTTGTTTTATTATTTCATGCTCATGAGTATAAAACTCAGGCTCCCATGGTGACTAACCTGAGGCCATAAAATATTTACAATATAATAACCCTTTTATTGCACTGTTACACAAATACCAGCCTTCCCCTCTAAGCTATTGTGGAGGTATTATATTGGTGTGGTCTGGATTTTTTCCCTCGACAGCTTTGTGCAGGCTCGCCTGTGAGTTTGATTGACAGCCTTATCCTCCATTCTAGATTTTCCCTTGTGTTAACCCTGTTTGCGACCCCTTATGTTCTTTTCTGTCCAAAATCCCTCAATATGGCTGGAAAGCGTAGATGTGGGAGTGGACACTGGCATCAGAGGAGTCATACATTGGGGATAAGGGCTACTAAAGTGTAGAATTAACCCTTGTGCATCAGTGTTTCCGCCATGACTACTCCCCTTTTACTTTCAGTACCTTTTTTCTGCTTTATTAAAATTAATAGTTTGACAGTTTGGGAAATATGTGGATTCACCTTTTTCCGGAGAGTTATATGAGAAGATTGATACCACTCTCATGTCTGTATGCTAAATGTGAAGGCGTAGCCAGCAGGAAAGCGAATAAGCGTATTTCCCAAAATGTTTCACTATTTCTTTAAACCTTGAACCTTAACATTAGCCCCAACACTTCTAGGGAAAAATTTACTAAACCAGCCATTGCTTAGTGTGGGTGTTCCTACAGTAAACATGCTTTACCAAGGAAAACATCTGCAGACAGTGGTCAATGAATACAGCCTGTTCAGTGGTTATTTTGAAAAGAAGCAAACTGCCTGAGAATCACTGGACAAGCTTTATTGTTTGACTGAGCTTTCCTGCCTGTTTGCTCACTGCTTTATATCTAAAACCCTTCCTTGAGTCACTCCTCCCTTTAACCCTTTGCCAGTAACCCTTCTGTCTTTCCTTAGCTTGGTTAACCCTTTCCTCTTCCTGCCCTACCCTCCCCTCTCCTGCTCCTCTTCTGCCTCCAGGTCGGATGACAGCGACTCCTCGCTCTCCGAGGTGCTCAGGTAGAGGAACTGTGTTTGTCACTCTCTTTTTTCCCATTTGCCTGTTAACTCACCTGGTGTCATCTCGTCTTCACCAGTAGTCAGGGCCTCGCCTGGCCTTTCCTCCACCTCCTTTTTCCCTTCTGTGGTTGGGGTCGTTGTGGTGCATGTTTTAACCACACGCGGCTTTCTTGACCCGCCAGCCTTTCCCATCTGTGTGATGTTGTGGTTTTCTGTGGTGTTGCTCGCACACGAGACCTGAATGAACCTTGCCACGTTTCTACTGCAGAGAAAAAAGTTAATATGAAACTGTGCAAATATTAATTGAACAAACATCAAATGGCTGTTGTAACCACCTGATATTTTGATTAATTAACCGTGAGACAAGTATAATCACTCATTTCCTGTAAAGACTACAGTGTTGATATTGATATTATACTCAGTATTTGATTAAAGGAATAGTTGGAAATTTTGGGAAACACACTCAAAGAGGCGTCAGGTGAAGGGGTGTCACTCTTATATCTGTCTGTTAAATATGTAGCTGGAGCCAGCAGCCAGTTAGCTTAGCACAAATAGTGAAAACAAGGGAACACAGTACTTCTAAAGTTAACTAATGAACATATTATATCTAGTTTGTTTAATACGTACTAAACCCAAAGCGTAAAGACCACAAATTGTGGTTCTATGAAGGGTTATGTGTCGGTCTACTCCTTGTCCTCTCTTAGGCCTTTTCCTTCAACAGGGAACCAGCTCCATTCCAATTACGTTCTGAAAGTCCAGGTTGACAGACTCTGATGGCCTACACTGGCGTTAAACGGTACTATGACAGTGATGAAGATGTTAGTTATTTGAGTCTGTGTCAACTTAATCTGGGGTTATGCGCATAAAGGAGCGTGTTTCGGCACCGCAGTAGTGTGGTTTTCTCTTATGGACTCATGGACACATTTCCATGATTTAAGTGGTAAATTAAGGGGAGAAAAAATCTCAGAAATTGACCCATAAATTAATTAACAAGGATTAAAGCAAGAAAGTGAGCCTGAAAGTTATCCTGGAGGAAAGGGGTACAATGAATTTAATTCTGTGTTGATATGAATTTAAAACTGCTCTATGCCTGAAATCAGGTGCCTGAGAACTTTGAGCCCTGAATTAAAATCTACTCCCTAAAGCATCTAGGTTGAAGGGCTAGACGTGTGAATGTAATTCTACTGTTAGAAGTGTACAGTCAGTCGCATCAATCACCCTCTGGAAGTGTTTTCTGTATATAGGCCTAGTCTATGTATATTAACAAGTATTTTTATATTGTGAATTAGCTATTAAATGTGAACATAACAAATACATTCTGGCCTTAGAAGCTGGCATAGATACTGAATTCACTCAGATGAGAATCGATATCTTTTTAGAGAACGTCATCGGGGTAAACTAGAGGATTCTGACTGTCTCTAAACACCCTCGCCCTCCGCAGTGAACCTCTCAGAATCCGTGCGCCAACGTCTTCCAAATGTGCCGCCATTTTTCTCCACAGATTGTGGGCGGAGGAGAGGAGGTTTATAGGGTAACATCGAGTTAACCACGAAGATAACCTGCTCGGAGCAGTTCAGACATGGAGAGTGAATTGCCATGACAACATACCTCGGGTAAAACTTAGCCACCTTTTGTAGTATGAGTTAATCTTGAAGTTACAGCTGACTTCACTGAGTTACTCCTGAAGTTACCTGGATAAGCCAGTTACCTCACTTCGTAGTACAGCCCTCTGAACTAATTTGGTGGAACAACACTGACCGTGAGTTTGCCAGGCAACCAGCAGAGGCTTAGTGTACAGATATAAAAGAGATATCCATCTTCTCATATAGCTTTCAACAATAAAGCTAATAGGCATATTTCCCAAAATGTCGAACCATTCCTTTGAGACAAAAAGAATAAAACTATGTAATAATCATTAAAAACAGAAAATGTTCCTCTTCTTTCTAATCAATCCTTTCCATTTATGTGTCTTTATCACGTACACATAAACACACACACACACACACACACACAAATTAATGCACCTCCCACCATGGCTCTTCTGTCTGTTTTTCTGTATACTGCAGAGAGCACACACTGCTCTCCCTCCATGTTTTCATTAGTCTGCTGGTCTCATGGTGCTTGGCCCTGCAACATCCATTAGCAGCCCTTACATAGTGCATAACACAGCACACTATGATATCTTCTACAGGCGCTGATAGAATGGGAACACTTTCTGCCATTTGGACCAATGCACTGCTGTAAGAAATGAGTGCTGCATTTAGCAGTATCATAGTATGTGCAGTATACGTCCTTATAGAGGAAGAACAAAAGAGAGTATATAAAGACTATATTGAAAATAATACAACATAATGATTTCCTGGCAGATAAACAAAGTAACTTGTGATTGTATGATGTCGAGCACTTTAACAACAGTGTGATGAACTGACTTCTCATTTTAACCAGCCTTCAGAGTGATAAGGTTCATTCAAATGAAACTGCACCTCAAATTTTTCTCCCAATTCAAAATAAATCTTCCTTCCCCTCTCTTCTCCATTCATTAAAAAATCATATTAACAGAACTTTCCCATGTAGGGTTTTCTCCTCTTTTTTTATCAAAGAAATACCCTGCTTTCTATCATCAGTCTTTCCAAAATGGAATTAGACCAAAAAGAGGGTGGGACAGATTGTGTGTGATGCAGTGTTCACTCTGTATACCTGCCATCACAGTCAGGTTTTGCAGCTCCGCAGAGGAGCAGAAGCTGACTTTGTTATCGACATCCCTCCACTTACCCATGTTTACCACATACTCTTTTCCTTGGGCCCCAAAAGGCGATTGGCTGTAGAGGTGCTGAACTGCGAGTCAGCCCTCACCTGACTGGCAGAGAATGGATGCTGCATGTGGTGATGATGACGTCTCAGGACGTTGTGCTGTGGTTTATTTTTGAGTTGCAGACTGCTGTGTAGTCAGTGTTACAGGCTGTGGCTGTTGTTAACAATTGTTTTGAGCTTATTCTGTGCAAGTTGGTTCTCTTTTGTGTTTCATGAGACTTTGCAGACATGCATGCAATCTTTTTTCACTGGCTGATGATTGACAGCTTTTGATTTTGGTTGGCATTTTTATGCACTGTAAAAAAAAAATACACAGAAAGTATGTTTTTAGTGTTTAATTTTTGATTTGACGTGTGTATTTGTGTGTTGTTTTCCCGCTGAGACATCAGTGTATGCACAAGCACTGAAGAGACAAGTTTCAAGCCCAACCTTCTGTATTTTGCTCACTCTGTGCAGAAACAAACCTTGTCCTTAGTTTTATGTGTAATCACAGATTCTCTTTTCCCTCCTCACATCCTCTGGCTCTCTCTCACTGTTTCGCTCTCCACCTCACTCTCTCTCACACACATACACACTGACATGCACACTCACTTCCACTGGTGTTATTAGGAAGCCCACCTGGGACCAATTTTCCCACATTCCTCCCTCTTCTTCTCACCCTCTGCCTGCTCTGTCTCACTCTGCTGACTGCTCTCCAGGCACTCTGGGACACTGGCCTGTCAGCGGGACATAGACTGGAAGGTTGGGGGGGGGCAGAGGTTTAGCTAGAGAGATTGAGTGCACATAGTATGGAAGAGGCTCTGTGTGAGTGAGTAAGTGAGTGAGAGAGTGTGTGAGAGGTTGAATTGAAGCAGCTCTTACTGTTGTAGTGCTTTAATTGGGCTATTCCACAAAAAAAGGAAGGAGGGAGGGGGTAGTGGAGGCAGGCTAGATAGATGTAGCAGGTGGGCCCAGGAAACCAACAGAAAGTGTGTGTGGGTGTGTGAGTGATTGCATGTTCATAGTTTTTCAGGTAGAGAACATAATCTGTGAGTATCCAGTGAGGTTTGTATGGGTTTGTATTGTCTTCGTATTATGGAAAGAACATGTGTTTTTGTGTGCATGTTTGTGATCGGCCTGTGTTTTGAAGTGCATACATCTGTGGATGTGTGGAAATGTATGTGATTTATATCGAAGGAGACTGTGACACTGTATGTGTGTGTCTGATCTTTAGGGGTGTGATCAATCCCATCGGGGGTGTGAAGGGGGGGCGTACGGCGCCCCTGCAGTGTGTTTCTGTAGCCGAGGGCCATTCGAAGCCGGTACTGTGTGTGGATGCTACCGATGAGCTGCTATTTACCGGATCTAAAGGTAAACATACCGATAACTGTACTCTTAGCTCTTTCTTTAAGAGGTGTTTGAAATGAATAAAGCTCTTTTAATAGGATCAAATAACATGCCTGTAATCTCAAATTAATTACACCACTAAAAGATTAGTTCGATATTTTGGTAAACACACTGATTTGCTCCCTTTCCAAGAGTGAGATGAGAAGATTGATACCACTCTTACAATATTTCTCTGTGTTAAGTGTGGAGCTTCCGCCTAGCTTAGCATAAAGACTAGAAACAGGCAGAAACTAACCTCACATTACTGTATGGCTTGTTTGTAAAAGCTATAAAAATAAATGGATAAAATGTCTACAAATGACACACAGTTGTTTCACTGTTTTTGTACAGATTAAACAAAGGAGATATAGGGTGTTAATACATTTTCTTTAGAAATTCTGGTGGGGACCTTTAGACAGAGTTGAGCTAGGGTGCAAGTGTCCCAGTCTGTTGTGCAGAGTATTTGAACTGCCCTTCTTCCCTCCTCCAGATCGAACCTGTAAGATGTGGAACCTGGTAACAGGTCAGGAGATTGTTACCCTCAAAGGCCACCCAAACAATGTGGTATCAGTCAAATATTGCCCTTCCTCCTGTCTGGTCTTCTCTGTCTCCACCTCCTACATCAAGGTGTGGGACATCCGCGACTCTGCCAAGTGTATTCGCACACTTACGTAAGTTTCCTGTCTGCAACCAGCCAGATGAAGCGGTTTGGAGCAGTTTAACAAAAAAATTGCAGCTGAGAAGATATTTGATAGATTTATGATATAGATTTATGGATATGCTTTTTCTGTTGAGTGATGTGTTTTAAAGGCATACTATGCAGTTTTCCGGTTTTGTCAAACAGCTACCCCTAGAGTCGCTGCGGAGTACTTGTATTTAACGTTAACTGTCGTAAATACCACTCACCAGAGCCATCTCTATATACGGCTCTGCGTCTCTGCACTCACAGCCTGATCCCCTCCCCCCGTATACCGGTACATGTTCAGTAGGATGGAAGCTTCGGACATCAAACAGGCAAAGATAGACTCCGAAGATGTCTACTGACCAGGTAACGTCTGAGTGAATGCCTGCTAGTGTCTTCCATTGAGGCTGCTTCTTATGTCGCTGATGTATGTGACGTCGCGCCGTAAAGCAATTTGTGATTCTCGCGAGATTTGGCAGGACACCTTTCAGACTTGCATTGCTGGTTCTGCCAACGGCGTCCCTCTCCTGCTTTGCTATCGGTATGATTCGCTATACTACGAGTTCGTTTACCATCGAAATGACTTCGAAGCTGTTATATTAAGGTAAAAATCTTGCATAGTGTGCCTTTAAGTTGCAGAAAAGTGACAAATGAAATGAGGGAAAAACTGATGTGAAATGCATCTAGTGGAAATGACAACTGTTAAATTCTGTTCATTACACTTGTCTCTTTCTCTCTTTTATTATTTCCTCTTTTACATTGTTTGGCTTCTCCTTTTTTCCTACAGTTCATCGGGGCAGGTGGTTTCAGGTGATGCGTGTGCGGGCACCACCACCCGCACAATAACCTTTGCACAGGGCGAGTGTCAGATCAACCAGATAGCCCTCAACCCGTCAGGGACTGTGCTCTACGCTGCTGCTGGAAATACTGTTCGCATGTGGGACCTCAACAGGTACATTCATACAATCCCTCCTCCAGTTATTGATTGAAATATTCAGTCATTCATGCATTTATGTATTAATTACTCCCCTCGCTGGTTTGTATCTCCACAGTTATTTGTTCATTCATGCAGATAGTTTCTTTACAGCCAGATATAAATTATTTTAGACATGGTTGTGAATGTATATTCACTTGTCACATGTTAATCAACTAGAGAGCTGATTAACATGTGACTGAAGAGATTAAAAAGGCCGTCAAAAGGAAGCACAGGAACTCAGCACCAGTGATGTGAAGCGTGTACGTGTTTTCTCCAAGATGCCCATTTCTGAAATCCCGTGGTAACGCCATCTTCTCCTCAGTTTTTATGCTTTTAGAGGGAAGTGATTAACAGATTGGACCAGACAGTTTACTCTGAGGGGCCCAGACCCATTTAATGATGCAGAAATGAAAAATGAATGTATTAAACATTTCTTCAGTATCATCTCTGCCCACGGCACCGCTGTGTCTCAGCAGTTTTACTTCACCCTTAAGATGGAAAGTGATTTCATTCAATGAAACTGGCACCTTGAAAATCAAATTCTTGTAAATAATGAATTTCACAGATTTTTGCTTTACCTCTTTGCTGCGTGCTTGTGTGTGTGTGTGTGTGTGTGTGTGTGTGTGTGTGTGTGTGTGTGTGTAGGATGCAAGGGATGGGGAAGTTGATGGGCCACATCGGCTCAGTCATGTGTCTGACAGTGGGACAGTCTCTGCTGGGCAAAGACCAAGTTATCACTGGCTCCAAAGACCATTATGTCAAGGTAATGCACACTCACATACACCTTAGACCATATCCTATTGTCACAGATGCAAACATGTCTTTTAGAGTCTCCTTCTTCCTCCTTCCTCAGGTGTTCGACGTGGCAGAGGGAACTATGGGTAATGTAGGTCCAGCTCATAACTTTGAGCCTCCTCATTATGACGGCATCGAATGTTTGGCTGTACAGGGAGATGTGCTGTTCAGCGGGTCAAGAGACAACGGCATCAAAAAATGGGATTTGGAGCAGCAGGAGCTCACTCAGGTGTGTGTGTGTGTGTGTGTGTGTGTGTGTGTGTGTGTGTGTGTGTGTGTGTGTGTGTGTGTTTGTGTGTGTTTGTGTGTGCGCGTGCCTGCCTGCATGTACAGTGTGGGTTTTTGTTAAGATTTGCGTTATGGATTTCTTGAAGCCTAAAACATGTCCCTTTTACCATGCTGAAGATGTACTGACACTCCCTAAGGCTTATTTAAAATTAAGCCTGCATGTGTTGTATGTGAAGCCAGCGGGGTTGAGTTAAGCAGGAAGCAGAATGATTTTATATTCATGTGAATGTAGAGTTCATACATCAAAGTTTAAAACCTTGACTGTGCTTCTGTGCTGCTCCTGACATTATGTGCCTTGAGCCTGCAGATAGGAACATACCATCCATCGTACTCTGGGGCTTTTAATTCATGATCTCTTGACCCGTATCATCTTGTGAGCAAACCCATTCTTCCAATATGATGTATGTAGGGCAGAAAGAGCGCCAACAGAGTATAAAAGCTGTTGGAAAATTATTCCAGTCACTGACGATGCCACATTTACAGAACAGCTTCATTGCTTCTAGTGTGGAATAGTGATCTTGATAGTGGTACTTGTACTAAATGCTAACATGCTCACAATGGCAATGTTAACATGCCGATGTTTACCGAGTAGAATGTTTCACTCAAACCACAAATATCATCAAAGAAAGCTCAGGGAATTACCAAAGTCTGTAGGATTTAACCTCTGTGGTAGGCTTTTCCTTTACTGTTTAAATGATTAATTGAAGGACTAAATAATTGAGAATAAAAACCATTAGTTGTGGCCCAATTGTAGACGTTTGATAGAAAAAAAAGATTATTTAAGTATAAACAATGTTTGAACCAGGGCACTGAACTAAGATTTTTTTAGTTACATTTTGCCTAATTTGCGCATCAGGACCAGGTCTGTAGTGCAGCTTTATACGGTCACACGTCTTGACAAAAAAACAGGACAAAACACACACACACACACACATACACACACCTTCTGTACCCATACAGTACTGGTAGAGGCTGTATTTTATTCGTTATCTGACACTGGCTCAGCCGTGACAGGGAAAAACTGTGCTGCCAGTTGAGCGTTCAGTTGGTGGACAGCTCTCTTCAGGTCTTCCTTTACCCAGAGCTCTGTGGAGAAAGTCAACAAAGAGTCGTCAGGTGTAATGTGGCAGGAAGTACTGTGTCAACATCAGGGTTTTAGAGCCAACACGCATCACAGCCACAGGTACCAGAGAGGAAAGTCAGTGTGTGTACGTGTTGACTTCTGTGGTGTCTGTTGAGCATCCACTGTTGCCTGCATATGTTAATAAAGCATAATAATGCACCTCGTGGGTGTATGTGGCTTACTCATTTGCACACACAGTAATATGCATATTAAGCAGCACTTTCTCAAGTTGTTTGCATAAGTTCTATTTAGCTTTTGTTTATCCTAACAGAGAAAACAAGAACATAAGACATTATTATTTCCATTCAAGTGCTGAATTAAATCAACTCAGTCAGTGCTGTGGTCTGCGGCATATGACCTTAACCTCATTTGTGAAGCAGCCAACACAATCCATTTTACAGCCTCTCTAACTCAGTAGTCTCTGTCTAATTATGTAATAGGATCAAATTGTGGCTTGAGGTATAATAGAATATATTACAGAAGACTCTGAAATTCCTCCCGGATTGTTGCTGAAAGCTGTTCTGCTCTGACCCCTCTGTTAAAATGCATACGCCATAGTGTACGCCAGGAGAATATGTGAAGCAATTTGTTTATAATTACTCAACACTGTAGTTTAGCGATTCCCAGTTGCTTGATAAACATCTTAATATTCCTCCCAAAAACAATTTCACGTTTTTGCTTTTCACTGGTTTTGACGGCATGCTTATGCAACTGTAGCCGTGTGGTGTTGCTCTCTGTGAGGTGTTAGAAAGCATTAACACATTTTTACCCACTGGTGTAAAGTTGTTACAGATAGCGAGGTATATGTAATGTATGTGACAACTTTCTCTTTTTGTAATAGCTCTTCCCAGTCCACACCTCTCATTGCACTCCTAACTATCATGAATTTGGGAGTCTCTCTTTTAATTGCCTTTCCCAAGGTTTCCTCCATTTTCCTTTTGCATGAAGAAAGGATTTTTCAACCTTTTCTGGCCTATATATCCCAACTATAAATCACCCTGGGAATTAGGGAGTTGTCAAGTTTTCAGCATGGAGGGAGCTTCAAATAGATTATACTGAAATGGTTCTATATGTGTATGTATATCAATGTTGGTGTTATTCTCAGAAATTGTCTCTACTTATCAAGCACCCCATATTTCATTTGTTTTTCCTGTAAAGCTCTTTCAGACATTGTGATGTCAAGCTTCAGCAGAAGTATTACATATTGAATGATGTATAGTATGTAGTGAAATGCCCGGGCAGGCACATTGCACTTAAGGGAGGACACTGATGAGCTCATGTTTGTAATAAAACGGAGCATTTCTGAACTGGAAGACAATCATGAGAACACAGACAGCATCATGCTGTGTAGTGGCCAGCTCATACGTTAAAAGAAAAGCTGATTTGTCCAAAGTCTTTGACAAGAAGGAAATACAGAAAAGTTTTAAATTATAGGAGCTAAAAAAGGTCTGCATAATATAGTTGTACACATAAATTAACAATCTGCACATACATTAATGAACATCGAATATGGTGTACTGTTGTCACTGATGTGCCAGATGTGCCAGATCCAGTATCTGTGAAATCTTCACTCAAAACAGCATCTAGAGATAATAAGAATAGAGCCAGAGCCATACTGAATTTTTGAGGCTAATAGCCAATATATTGCCAGATTTTTTTTTAAATATGAACACATAACATATTTTTATTTTTATTTGGATAGCTTACATTTGTTTGTTAAAAACCAAGATATGTACTGAGCGAGACAATTTATAGTATAGAACAATAAACTTATCCTACTTAAGATGCTAATGCAGGAGGTTCGTAATGCCTGATGTCTACACTGTTGCATTTTAACCAAACATGGTTTCTGTCCATCTGTGGCAACAGTTTACCATTTCTGTTTCTACATGAGTGGTAAAAGCAGGAGAATGTGTCGTCTTTTTATCTTCTGTTGTGAAATTCTCAAGAGCTACTTAGTTATACGTTTTCTTTACCATACCAAAACAGTGGGATTTCTGCACTAGATTATGTGGTACAAATTATAGCCATTTGGATAATGTCACTCACAATATTGAAATCACTCTAGGCTCGGACTATTGTTCAGTAAGAATCACTTAAGAGAAAACAATTCGGAGCTCTCAAGATGAATTTGCCTTTGGTAAAAAAATACTGAATTCTTTTTTTGTTTCAAGAGCTAAAGAGGAAAAACAATGCTTTTATTCAAGCTTGTGGGTACTGGTTTAGATCATAAAGAGTAGGCCTACAATAGACCTTACAGGAGGATTACATATAGATTATAGTTTATGGACTATAAAAATGATAGAAAAGAGCAGACAAGCTGCAAACTACTGTGTGGAAAAAAAATACAGAAAGATATCTGCAAACAAAAGTAAGAACTTTATATGCAGTGTTATTTTGTTTGAAAACTAAATAACTCAAAATGCAACATGAAAATAACAATGACAGATGCAAATAAAACACAACAGGAAAAAGTAGATAAATGCAATAAAAGTCGTCCTCCTTTGCGTGAGTTCCACTGTAGGTTGTGTGGTTGAGATAAACAGAATATAAAAAAACACCCCAGCAAAACCCAAAGTGTGATAAAAGTTTGGAAATCCCTGATGTAAAATTCAAATAGCTTTTTGTACTTTAGTTCTGTATTTTAAGGCACTGACAATGTTTGGACTGATTATGTTTAACATCTCACCTCTGAAGTGCTGCGTCACCACAGACATGGTTCACTCTGTTCCTCATTTTCTCTTTAATTCATAAAGAAAATTCTAAACGTATGATGTCAGTTTAGAAGCTATTTGTCAGACGTTTTTTGTCTGTGTATTAAAATTTGTTCCTCACAGCAGAAGTGTGGAGCTGAAGTTAGTTACATGTGAGCTGCGGGATTAATTTATCCAATACAAAAATAGCAGAAAATCTTTCTGTTTGAATCTTTTTTTAATTTTTATAATGGTGAAATAAAATAAGTGGTTACATAACATTTATCCGTATGCAAACTCTTAAGGGTCATATAGAGATTAGATATGTCCAAAGGGATAAAATTACTTATTAATTAACCCTAACCCTGCTCTGAAATTTGAAATGAAGACAATTGGTTTGTTTCTCTATTGTTGCTTTATGAAATCGTGTCTCATATCAGTGTTTTTATCTTTGTAAACATAAGATCGATGAATCTATTCTCAGTTCATGAATCATGTTTGAAGCTATTCTAAAATACTGAACACACAGAGACACAAGCTAAGAATAAATATGGTATTCTCTATCTAAATACAGTCTTAATGTGTCTCAAGCCACACTTGTACATGCATGTTGCCTAGCAACAACATGCATTTTCCATTCAAGAAATATACTACTTCAGTGAGGATGATTTATATCCATTAAAAATGAATCACTGAACATTTATGTTTTCCACTGCTATTTTAAGAATGTGACCACCAGATGATTCCTGTAACTGTTGTAAGATGACTGGATTATTTTTAATGTAAAAACATGTAATACCTCTCTCTCTCTCTGTGTGTGTCTCTCTGACTTAATGTCTCTCTGCATTGGCTCCACAGCAAATCCCCAACGCCCATAAGGACTGGGTGTGTGCTCTGGCGTATGTTCCGGGTCGGCCCATGCTGCTGAGCGCCTGTCGGGGCGGCATGCTGAAGGTGTGGAATGTAGACAACTTCACCCCCATAGGAGAGGTCAGAGGTCATGACAGCCCCATTAACGCCATATGTACCAACTCAAGACAGATCTTCACTGCATCCAGGTAAAAAAAATGTTTTAATAAATGTTTCACATTGTAGTGTTGTAAAATCCATCAAACGGCATTCATTTGTTATTTGTTCTCTATCTGACCAGCATTCTGTTGATGTAGTGAAGGATTAATGAGCAAATAAACTAATTTCATTAGAAGATTATTACATCTTTTGAGAGTTAAAGAAAGACCTTTTATGTTGTAATTAATGCCATTTATTTATTATAATTTATTCACAGCAAATTACTGTAATGAAAGCGTTTGTAGATTAGAGTCCCATCAGTTTAAACATAAGCATTAAAGAACAAGTAGGCTGATATTCTACATTTCTTTCTGTCTATTCAACAATTCAACAATGAACTTAACGTGTAAATATGTATTGCCTGCCTGATATACCATATTTGTCAAAAATACACCAGTGATGCTCATGTTGCACCAGCTGACATGTTCTTTCATTACCATAAACATGGACACTGTAGTTTATTCATCAATCCCACATACAAGTCTGCTGTTATTGATATTAATTAGGGCAAATGTGTTAATCAGCTGCTGAAAATATTTCCCAACAAATGCACTGTTTACTTCTGTTGGGTAATGTTTGCTTAAAACTACAGTGACCAGCTGGAAAATTAGGAAATTACCCTATACATTTTATGACCCTTTTTTAGGATTTAAATCTTCAGTAGGAACAAATGGGCTCTGAGCTGAGTGCCATAGACAGGGTAGGGAAGAAAATGAGAAAGTATTGAGAGGTGAGCTCTCAACACTTTGTAACTTTTTGTCTTTTCTTGTAATTTGACAAAAACAACAATATGGAATGAATCCAGCTTTATCTGAAGAGTGCTTAGAGGTTGAGAACCAGAGAACATGTTTATGAATTAGTTTTTCAAACTGGTACAGAGAGACAGAGAAAATGTCTGGCCGTTACCAAATATGTTAGCTTTTTCTGCAGGTGTGTGTCAGCCTTGTGTGGCTCAGAGAGGGTCATACCTACATCCTGTTTTTCTGAGCTCACAGGGATAATGCTTGTTTGTGTGTGTCTGAGTGGGACATGCTACAGTCTGAGTGTTCATTTTTACTTCTCATTCAACTGGTGGGCTTTCACTGAACTCTACTCCCTCTTCTTTCTGTATTCTCCACTTCTCATTCTCTTGTTTCATCACTTCTTTAATTTCCATCATCGCTGGCTGTTTTCCTGTTTTCTGACGTCTTTTCTGCGGACAAATATTCGGTCTCTTAAACTCTGCCTTCCCACTCCTCCTCTCCTCCAGTTCTTAACAGTCACCTTCTTCCTCCTCCTCCTCCTCCTTCTCTCCAACTCCTTCTCAACCCCAGTGACTGCAGGGTGAAGTTGTGGAGCTATGTGCCAGGCCTGACCCCGTGTCTTCCTCGACGGGTCCTGGCCATCAAGGGCCGAGCCACCAGCCTCCCATGATTGCCTCTTCTCCGCTCACCAACCCTCCCTTCCTCTGGTACTCTCTCAACTAATTTCCACCTTCTTTTCCCTGCTGTGTTTGTTTTCCCCTAGTTTTCTATTTCTTTACCTGGTTGATACCTGCTCTTTTCTGTTTGCACCTGTTCTGTTTCTGTCCTCTTTTCATTTCTTCTCCAATTCTTCTGTCATTCTTTTATTTCTTTTTTCTGTTGGTTTTCTTTTTGGTGTTTTTGCATGTTGCTCTGTTTTGATCATGTGTGACTTCTATTTTTAAACCATTTATTCATGGTTTGCAGACCACTGCCTCCATTAAGAGTCACTGACTGAACATGTGACTCCTAGTTCTGCTCAGAATAACTCTTTTTAATGTAATGTGTGCAAATAAAACTAGTCTGATGTGCATGTTGCTCTACTTAAAGGAATAATTGAACATTTTGGGAAGTAGCGCTCATTCGCTCTCTCACCAAGAGCTAGATGAGAAGATCAATACCGCTGTCATGTTTGTCCGTTCAATAAAATTCTGCAGCCAGACTAGAAACAGGGGGAAACAGCAGGACTGGCACTATCCAGCATGTAACACCCCCCCCCCCCCAATAAAACAGCAACGTGATGTTTTCAGTTTTTGATTGGAATTGAGCCAAAGAGGTTTACATGTTAATTAGTGAGGTTTAGAGGTGATTTCGTCACATGTAGACAGAGCCAAGCTAGCTGTTTCCTGATGTTTCCTGTCTTTATGCTAAGCTAGGCTAACCGGCTGCTGGCTGTAGCTTCATATTTATCATACAAACATGTGTGATATCAATCTTCTCATCTAACTCTGGGCAAGAAGCCAGAAAGTTTTTTTGGTTTTTTTTTACTATTTCACACCTCCAGCATTATGTTTTCAGACAAAAGTTACACAATTGACACTTAGCATCTCCTAACACCGGCCGAAGTGCACAGCTAACTTCTTTAGCTAGTGTTAATGAAAACTGTGATGCTGTCCTGGAGATTGCCTGATTGACCAGTGCAAGGTGTTGTGACTGTGGCAATGTGCAAGAAAGTGAAAATTAAATTGCCTGGTCAGTTGGGAGTAGAGTTGTGGGTAAGTTGATTAGATTTACTTGTTGTAGAGATATGAATCATACTTACTTCTACACTTTTCTAAAAGGTTGGAGAGGTGTGTTTTTTTTTTACGGACACCACAGAGAAGGGTCTTTAATGAAGTGTGTGTGTGTGGGCAAGTGTGTGCGAAGCATACTTTGAAGTCAGTCTCTTTGTGTTGTGTCTGATGTACAATGGGTTTGTTTTGAAAGGGAAGACTGCCTGATTGATGTTCTGTTATTTTCTCCCTTTGTTGTGTTCTCCTTGCTTCCCCTTTGCTCATCATCCCACCTCCCTCTCTCTCTCCCTCTTTCTCTCTCTCTCTAGCGACAAGACAGTGAAGATCTGGTCGTCAAAGGTGTGGAGGAAGAGGTGACAACCGAAGTGGTTCCTTTGTCGGCCATCTTACTAAAACTTCAGCCATTGATCTGTGCCCTGCTGACTCCTGGCAATGAGATGTGACACTGAAGTTTCCAAGGCAATCAAGGTGTTTTTTTCTCTGTTGCCAAGGTGCAAAATGACAAAGCAGAGGCAGAATATGTATTCAAAGGCAAAAAATCTATTTGCCTTTCCGTTTTTTTTTAATGCCAATTTGAAAGTGCCATTCAGGTGTGATGGACAAGATAAACCATATCCTCCTGGCCATGGATACACCTGCTGAACAATGTTTCCCCGGACATGAAAACTACCACAGCCTGGTATTAAAAGGAAAAGAAAAAGTGTCCTTCTGTTCTTTCACCAAGGTTTTAGAACCCTTGTGGAACAGTGAGAGATGAATTAGCTCAAAGACGTGTGTATCATGTATCTATTGTTAGAAAGTCAAGATGGAATTTAAATCCCAGAGGGATGCTAACTAACAACTGGGACCTCTGCTCCTCCGTTCAGGATACTGAACACATCGGAGGGTCATACTATGTTAATCGTGGTGGATGACCAATAGACAATTGCTGATCTTGGGATAGACATCACTGGAAAATCACACAAAACACCATCCCCTTTTACTCCGGAATCACTTTTAGTTCAAGTCGCTCTCAGTATATCACTGAAACTTTATTGCGTTCCACAAGTCATGTTCATGTTTTCTTTTTTAAATGACTTTTATTAATTTATTATTTTCCCTACCTCAGTTCTTTTGGACTTTGATGTGAGGTGGGAGGGAACATTTTTTACAGGTCTCTGTATACAAACACCTGGTGCTTGACATTTTTGAAGTCTTTTATTTAATGCCTGGCTCTTCATCTATGTGTGGATGTGTCCTCTGTGGCCCTCTGGCTATCAGACTGTCAAGCTGCTGACCTTGCAAACAGGAAAGCACACGTCCAGTAGCACAATCTAAGGTAGCACTGGCCCCCCGGAGGATTCTGGACTGGACTGTATCATCTGCTCTGTAAAGTGCTAACTGCAGTGAAAATAAGAAACACCCCTGCAGACGCACATACACAAACAGTGCACACATTTGTGAGTCAGGTACTCCATTGAGGCCAAAGAGCCAGATCATTATCTCAACCATCCCTACAGTATGTGGCCCATACCTGCCATTTATCCTCTCCTCAAATGGTAATAGGAGCCCTATCCAGTTTTCCCCCACCTGCTTTCAGCGCCACTCTGATCTTTAAGGTTAGCGGCTGTGTCAGACTGACCAGCCTTACTGAAGAGTCCGCCTCTTTCCCCTGCTACTGAACTTCTCTGGGAAGCCTTTTTAATTAGAGGTCTCGCAGCTCTACCGGCTGCTTTTTCAGGCAAGATTACTTGGGTGAAAGTAGGTCATAACTGAGAGAGATTTCTTATTAAAATCCCAATTTTCTTCCACCCACTATTTGCTGCTACATTTTAAAGGCAGGAAGAAACTTCATGTACCCGTGCACTGATGTACAAATCTGTTTATGTGGCAGATTACGCGTGTGGGCAACACACGCACACACACACACACACACACACTTATGCACAAACTGTGGACTCACACAAACACAAGATTTCAGTGGATGTTTCGGTTATCCATCTTGCCTGATAGGTCTTGGCATCCCTCGCTGTGTTGATTTAGTGTTGCTTTAATGTAACAAATTCAGCACTGCAGCACTCCACTGACACACACACTCATATATGCACATACATACATACTCCTACAGGCAACAGTAATAACCCAAGTCTTAAAAGTCAGTTCAATTATATTTTTGTTCTGAATACAGATAATAGCATTCTCATCACTCTCAGTTTATGAACTTGGGCTTTTTTGTGTCAGTCAAAACAAGGAATTTAAAAGTCTTACCACATGATAAAAACCCAATTCATGCCTGTCATTATCACAATATCACCGTTGAGATTTGTTTTTCAGCTCTGAAATGTCACTGCCTTTGTTAAAAAAAAAAAGAATAATTTGGTTATTTAGTGCACTTTTCCTTATAAAAGACCCAGAAACATGTAGTTTAAATAATGAAGCTTGGATCATAAAACAGCAGTCATTGGTGCTGAAGTTAGTTAGTACTTTCAACATACTTTCTGCAAATTCTCGTCTAAGAAGGAGTATGTACCGCCAACATGAGTTCAAAGCTGCTTAACACTTTCCAAAACCAATGATATGGGTTTTGGTTAAATGTTGGGGGGGGGGGCAAATGTGTGAATGGGGGTGATGTGTTGAAGCATTTTGGTTTTAATATTTGTAATGCTTAGAAACTCAGGTAAAGGTTGAAGGATATTGTTAGTCATACTTTTAGTCATTACTTGATCCTGTGAATTTAGGTTGCCCTTTGAATTGACCAAATGCCTTGTTTGAGAGATTTTGATTTTATTTTAAGAAAAAAGGTACTATCCGTGTACCACCCCTTTTTGTAAAAGGCTCATTTCCATGTTTTGCTTTTGCATTTGATTCCCTTTACTTATTATCTATGTACTGTGCTTCTCCGTACAAAACGTACACATCTTAAATGGCATCTTCCCAATCTGGCCAAAGCTGAAAGTCTTGCAACTCTGAGAAGTTATGCACTGATTTTTGACCATAATTACTTGTTTAAAATATGTATAAAGTATGGTATGTATAGTAGTTTGTGTATAAAACTGGCGTGAGCGGTACAGAATGTGGTCAGTAGGGAAGTTAACCTCCATAGCATAATGGGTTATATACTTTGACCTTAAGTCAGACTCCACTGGGCCCTTCACCGTACACTATGTATTTATCTGTGCTAATTAGCCAAACTGACCCTGCTCACCAGCTCTGTGGTGTGTTTCATGTGATAACAGTTCTAAAACAGCCTTTATCTCCATTTTCTTCTCCAGACTCCTACTTATTGCTAGAGAAGATGTTGTAGTACTGTAGCTTTATGCACTCTCTGAGGTGCCCTGTGCTTGTACATTTGCTGAAGGATACATGATGTTAGTTGTGCTCATCGGTTGATTGGACATATATCAAAATAGTAATTCAGTAGGAAATTCAGTCCTCCTTTTATCTTAATGTTAAACACCTGAGTGGATTTGCTATCAAAATCTTGGAAGGATTTGGCCATTTGTTTGGATTCTGGAGCATTGATAGTCAAAATATGTAACACAAATGTTGTTGAGTGTGCTTCGCAAAAGATGCTTACGTGGAAGATTTATTATAGCCATGCAGAAGCCCTAAATTATTATCTGGCCTTGGATCAGCCCCGCCCAAAGTTGCCCAGAGTTCTGAGTCTTGTATTTTGCCGATGTCAGCACCACTTCATTACTTGATGTGTAAATAAGTGTGTCATACATAGTCGAGGTTAGCTGACTTCTTTCTCATCAGCTGGCCTCAGAATAATCTCTGTAAGTTAGGATTTACATGCACTTTGGATAATGAACACTGCTGTGAATACTCTGAACTGTTTTCCAGATATGTATTAAGCCTAACTTTAGACTTAGTTTACAAAGACCCAGAGTCCAAAACAAGGCTTAAAGCATTGAAACTGTACTGAAAAGAACACATCTGTTTAGGTCTACAGTAGGTTTAGAAGTTAATGATATTAATGTTTGTGCTGATACAGTATGTAAGATAACAGTCAAGACATAGAAAGACAGTCCCCAGTATGTCCCTGCCTTTAAAGCCCCCCTTTTTTTTATAGCAATTGTTATCTGAGAATGCAAATTTTCACTTTGGCAGAGCAGCATGCACACCTTTGTAGACACTCATCCATATTTCCCTGACTGTCTGCTGGCATTCAGACATTTTTCTTAATATTACTGACCACAAACAGGTCATATTACTCTATGAAGGATATAATCAGAGGCACAGGATGAAAGAAGATAATCTATTTCTCCTGCAACAATCCACTGGGGGAAATCACACCTGATATTATCACACTAAAAGTACCATGTAGTGAGTACTGTTTGATAAATACCCCTCTCCAATCCCAAATTGGTACACCAGCTGGTGGCAATGTTCTGTAGCCAAATGTGAAAACAGTGAACCTCTATTGTAGGTCCCCACAGCCCATATTAGAATCTGGTTTAAATTATAAAGCTGTTTGACCAAAGCTAAAAATCACTTGCTGATACCTTGCTCGCCCTTAAAAGCCACTACCTGTGTAATTGAATATTTCGGACTTCGGTGCACCGCAGTGACAGTACAAAAGAAAAATAACATTGACCATTTGCAAAGCCCCGCCTAGTTACTGTTGCTATTCCTGTCAAGCTTTCTCTTCTTGCACAGAACTTATGCAGTTTACAATTACAGCTTGAAATTAGCAAGTCGGTTTTGAAACAGTGAGTCCTCCATTTCACACAGAAGTTAGATTTATGCTTTAATGTTTGTACATTCAAACGGTACGCCTTACTTTTACCAAAGAAAAGGATTTGAGTTAGCCACACATTTTATGCATTCTGTACACCTTTACATGTGTTTTGGGATTTGGAAAAAAGCTTAACTCTCATCCTACTAACATATTTAATATACAATGGCTATTGACTGGGGACCCAAAAAGTAAGCCATTGTCAACAACAACCACCATAGCAAAATGTTAACTTATGAACTCAATAAATATTTCAATCTATTAAAATTGCATTGGTGGAATTAGGTACTTTTGACTGGGATCCCCCAGGACTCCAGTACATATTTTTAAAAAAGTACAAATTAAAACAGAAATAGAAAACAACAATATGAAGTAAGTAGGAACACACTGATTGAAGTCCTGAAAAATTAGAATGATAGAATAAAACACCTGTGAGACATAACAAGTATGCAAGTATAGGTAGGATGAGGGTTAAAACAAACAAACCAGACTCTTTTATAGCTATGATAGTTATGATAGTGTGTGACAACCAGTGTTCATGGCAGGGTTTAGCGAATGGTCAGTTGGCTGAAAGCAAATCATAGACCGCACCAATTTTCCCAGGCAAACAAAAAAATAAAAATAAATCAGTAAATAGTGGCTGCAGCCTGTCTGTCTTGTATAGAACAGATTGGAGAGTCAAGCTGTCAGTGAGTGAATTGTGTGATACCACCTTTAGCATTTCCAGCCCAGCCCAGCCCAAACACCTTAGGCCTACTAGGAAATTAAATCAAAGTTGTCAGTGTCTCACCTTCAGCCTTGTGCCTCAGACAACAGGCCTTACTGCCTTAAAGAAACAGAATGTGTATGTGGGACATTAACAATCTTTATTTTGAGGATTGTAGATTGTCCTACAGATTGTTTGAGAATTCTGTTCTAAGTCAGACGACGTCTCTGCTCACTTTATCAGCACGGCTGAAGAGACTATCGACTTTGCCTCAGGCTGCTGAGGGGATGGGATTGCATTTAGACACAGTCAAGAGGGCTGCTGATCAAGAGGGCACTTTACTGCTTTGCAGTGAATATCGCACACCAACACACGTCTTCTCTGTAGCTGCTCAACTAGTTTTCTTCCAGGTGTGTGTTGTCACATTGAGCTCACATATGCTAATACAGTATGTGGCGGTGTCTGTGAAATATTTACTCATGGGACATAAATGCAGGGTCAAAGGTCATTTGTGCCTTTTATTGCACAGACTATTCCCTCTCTTAAATGAGTGTAAATGTGTGTACAGCTTTTTTTATATGACAATGTGCATGTGACCAAGCCATGTAAGATATCTGACTGTAAATAATGTAAGTAAATATTTAATGAAGGATCCAATGTTCCCTCAAGAAAATAAATGTTAAAAACAACTGTCCTTCGTTTCTTCTGGAGTGATGAATCCTAATAAGATCTTATTGTATATTGATTTCTTTCTTTTGTGGTTTGGATCATAAAGAATTGTTTTCATGAGATTACATTCCTTCTGTGATTATCTTACAGAAATATGTTCTTTAACCAGATTGTTCAGGATTTTTATAGTATTTACCCATCTGTCTGCAGATTACAACATGCCTGATATTAAGACCAAAGCAGCTGAGAAATCAGATGATCCTTTACAGATGGATGAAGAGTTTATTGATCATTTGGGATAAAAAGGCAAAAAAATGGTTGTAGGGGATGAGGTGTAGACATGAGGAAATGTTTTTCCTCCAGATGCACTCCTTTCTACTTCAGGGTGAGAGATACAGACTCAAAGCTCATACATCTTCATTTCCTTTGCAAACTCTGATCATTAACTTGTGTCGGTCTGCGCTTGTCCCAGCAGCGACGGGAGACACAAGCACTGTGATGTACGACGGCCATTAACGCCTCAGAGGAGGCAAGAACCATTTGAAGATGCCAGTCACTAACAAATAAACATCCATACACAAACCCTGTCACGTCCAAGCTGTATGTGCTCCATCTGCTCTCTCCATGTAATAAACTCCTGAAATTTCATTTGAATGTCTTCGTCTGTTTCATTACGCTACAGTGCTCCAGTAAGTCTGTTCTTACTTGCTGATCCATCAATCTCTGTCCTACTCTATCAATCACCCTGTAAGTATAAAAATCTATTTGAAATTCAGTCAAATACCCTGAGAAAATGGTAAATGTTGCATATTAATTATGCCTACTCGTGAGCAGACTAAAATGAACTGAACTTCAGTATCGCCAGTATAAAATACTGTAATATTATCAGGATGGCAAACTCAGTTGTTCGGTCCACTGCTTTCCACAGTCAGAAATATCTCAAATAATGAATGGTTTGTCATGAAATTTCATACAGAGATTCATCAGAGCAGTGGTTCCCAACCTGGGGGTTGGGACCCCCAATAGGGGTCATCAAAGTTTCAAGGGGGGTTGCAAGGCCTTCTTGATTTAAAGGGGTGTAAGAAAACTAAATACATACAGTAGGCCTATATCTCAGCAATCTGTTTTATTTTTTTATATATATGTTTTATATTTATATTGTTTTTATTATTTTCAATCTAAACTTGAAGACCTGAACAAACTATATTTAGAGTCTCTCTGCTAAACAGCTTTTTTTTTTTTTTTAAAAAAAAGAAGCCTATTAAGTATGTATGATTGTTAAAAAATACATAATGAAGACAAAGGATTTTGTAAAAGGTTCCTAAAAATATCAGAAAACTCAACTCTGATGCAATATTCACAGTAAATAATTCAAATTCATCCAAATTGCTTGTTTTACACAAACTTCCTGCAGTTATTGCGTCCACTATTTGGGTTGATTGTACAGTTTATCAGTTGTTCTGTTATTGTTATGCATTAAGTGTAATTTGAAATATTGATCAAATATGTGTCAGGCGTCAGTTTTCTCAATGATAGAAAAGGGCCCCTTAAGGAAAAAGGTTGTGAATCACAGCATTAGAGGATGGATTGTAACTTTTGGTGGTCCATTAATCTAGCACAAACATCGGGTCAAAAGTGTCATTTGTCCAATGTCTCTACTGATTTACCTTGTGTTTAATGCTAATTAGCTAATATTAGCATAAGCAATTAACTAATGTGATGAACATTTTGCTCAAAGCATCACTGTGTCTAAATAGAGCCAGAATTGCTAGCATGTCTGCAGAGTCTGATGTTCCCCTCAACTCTACGAAGCGCTTCAGCACCAAAGCTCTGATAAATTAACTGTACATTAGCTACCCAGCACCATAGTTACTGACTATCTGGTGAACCCACTGGGGGTCATTCCTGTGTTCCCAGGGTCATATGTTGCCCATTTCTAGGCATAGGGTTAGGGAACTTAGGACCCTGGGAACATAGGACCCTGGGAATAGAGATACACTACCACTCAGTGGAGCAATTAGCTGCTATAGAACCAGATATTTCCTTCAGAAGTTAGTGGAGAGCAAAACAATATTGGGCTTGCATTTATCATGTGCACACAAACACGATTGCCAATGAATGACAATGTTGCTCCATATATGCCTAATGTGTAAATAAACCACTTTTTCCTGACATTTCAACATGTCCACTTTACAAGGTGATAATATATCAGTAACCTATTCATGTTGTGTTTACAGGTTCTGTCCTGCTGCTATTAGGCGGGCAAACCCCCCCCCAAAAAAAACAATGTAGCAAGGAAAATTACTCACTTATCTTCACGTCAGTCCAGTTTAATCAAACTTGATTAATTAAATGATACACTAGAAAAAATCTGCATGAAAGTTTTTGTTGATTGGTAAATACAGCTCTTGTCCATGATAATGGGAGTGAGATCAGATGTTGAAAAGGAACTGAAGAAGACAAATAAATCGAGTAGACTGATAATTAGCAGCATCATGGAAACAAACTTGGATGTGGAGAAAGATTGAAATGGATAGATGAACAACAAGTGGAAGTAATTCAGCTAAGAGGACTGGCTGGGGAATGAAAAGAATGCTGGGAAAAAGGCAATACGTGAGCAGTGGTTCAGGCTATTTATGCTATTTTTAAATAATGGAGGATGCAGAAGGTAGCACTGACATGACAATAAGCAAGATACACTGTGAACACTGCACACAAACATCTTGTACAGGAGATAGAACATGTACCAATAACAGCGAAAAAACAACATTTATGGCAAATGCTTGACGCAATGGGTTATCACCTTATAAATTCACACTTAAGTAAAAAGAAAAATAAGGTAAAAAGGGTACTGTGAAAGACAAACAACACATTCAGAGACTGGAAAATTTAAAGATTTGAATGCTGAGGGAAGTCATAAACATCTTCAAAAAATCATCCCCACTGTTTCTCAGATACATACAGCGAGCATCTGCACGGCCACTGAACAAAGCCTCGGACTATCAACTAAATTGCATGGTCTAATCCCATTATACACTCTCTCTTTGAGTCCGGTTTTACACAGCACACACACAGCACTCTCCACACTACCAGATTTAGCCACATCAGAGGGACACACAGTCATTCATGAACATGGGTGGATAATTAAAAAACACAATGCAATTTTTTTGTTTTGTAGTGTAATAATGTGTTTTTGTGGGGGAGATTTGCAGGCAGTGTTCATGAATGCGTTTAATGCGTTTAATGCTTTATTCATTAAAAGATCGGTCACATCCATTTTGGGGTTAGGTATCCATTGAGTTATAATTATGTTTAGTAGAAATTACACACCATAGACGACTATAAAGTCAGCCATGTCAAGGATGAGAGATTGCCACTAAATCCTACTCACTGGTCCATTAAAGGAATAATTTCACTTATTATTATTATTCCCTTTCTTTCCCAGAATCAATCAAGAAGATTGATACCACTCTCATATTTGTCCGGTGAATATATAGCTAGCTTAGCATAAGCTAGCCTGACAGTCCATAGCTGCACGTAATATCTCTCTTCCTGGATACTTGTCATTGCCATAAGGAGGCCTTCAGGAAGTGACTGACCAAGAAATAACCTGACACATAATGGTCTACAAAATCAGAACTTGTTTTTACACTTTTAAACTAATAAACATGTTAATTAGCTTTAGGTGAGGTGCGGTAGGTGTTGCCTTTGGACAGAGCTAGGCTAGCTGTTACCTTTATTTTAACCATACAAACATAGAGTGGTTTCAATCTTCTTATCTAACTTTCAGCTGAAATAATTTAGTTTTATTTTCCGTCTTGGAAAGGTTATGTTGAATTTTTGGTCTAGAGATTTTTTGCAAAAACAGATTGTTAGTTTTTCAGTTGATATGGTTTTTCTGTATTTGGTGCTGCTCTGTTTGTCAGTTCCTCCATTGTGGTTATTATGTGTTATGGAAACTAAAGACTGATCCATCCATTTTGTCGAAAATAAACCCTATTGCTGCATCAGGAATTGTAAAATGAGTCACTTCCTCTGTAGAGGAGGACTGAATGTCCATGGATAATGTACTTTCTCATAGATGTTTACAACTGCAGATGAGAAACACTTTTGTGTAAGCAGGTTTAAAAACTACTGTGTGGTTAAGCAAGGCTGCAGATTAACAGATTCCTTTATTCATATAGGAAAAGATTTTCACTTTCAATGCATATTCGTTACATAAAAAAGTTTTCTCTTTTGCAACCTGTTTGGATCCACTGTCTCTTCATCTCCACACAGTGCACGTTCCGGGTTCTCAGTTTGTTTTTTTCTTTGAGTCTTTTCCCTTTGCAGGCTGTTTTGTCTCCCTCCAAGGCAGGAAGTTGTAGGAGACCAGAGCTGTGATGAGGTATGTAGCCATGCCAGTGTATCCTCCCAGTACCAGACATAATGGCTGTGCCAACACAAACAGACAGAACACGTTCATTGACGCCCGGTCGTCCAGCTCCACCCGGTCATTCTGCGTTGCGTTCATCACTCCAAAAAAATATATCAGTGCCACAGCCGGGTAGAAAGCCAACTCCACCATGATGCTAGAAACACTAGAAAGCCAAAGATGTGCACATGTGTTGGAAAGTAGTTCGTAAAATCCACTGAAGTATTGAGTGTATTTTCAGAGATACACTCACCCGGATGAGATTTACACTCACTCCCAGACAGAAATCCCTCTGAAGTGTGAAGGTCGATCTGACAGGAAAACAGACTTGGACCTTTGATCTGTCATTACAACAGTTCTGTCAAACATTATCTCCTGTTCCTCCCTATCAGGACACTTGACAGTTATTACCGTCTAACACAATCTGATGTTTTGTTTTCAACAAAGCACCCTTTAAAAAAAACTTAAACTATCATAACCAATTACACTGTATCATATAAAAGCAACTTTCTTGACACATTACAGATAGGAGATAGAGGGATAAAAGGTTACAGCCCTACATTGACCAATATAGTATATTCAGTGATACTTAGACTATACGTCCATGAATACCTATATTATGAGTTACAAAAACGTATCAATAATGGAATAAAATCAAACTGTAGTATATTTAAAGCCCCTTCTCACATGTATAACTGAAGAACTCAACTTGAATAGCTTCTTTATTTATTTTTTTCTCTGGGGTTAGTGTTTCAATGACAGATGCTTTTTTGATATCATGTATCATGTCTAGAGAACCAAGTTCAAGTTGTTGATTTGGGTATTTCTAAGGCACTAACCCTACTAAACATAACAAACAACAATACTCTGTTTCATAAATATACACCCAAGGGAAATACGCTTATTCGCTTTCTTGCAGAGAGTTAGATGAGAAGATCGATAACACTTCCATGTCTGTACACCAAATGTGAAGCTTGTTCCAAGATACTGTAAACAGAGGGAAACAGCTAGCAAGGCTCTGCTAAAAAAAATTGCCTACCAGCACCTCCAAAACTCATTAATTAACACATTATGTACTGGAACTATTTCTTGGTTGAGCCAAAAAAAAGTCTCTGGGCCCGGCCAAGAAATAATTTCAGCACATAACTCCACTTTCCAGTGGGTGATTGCAATGTTTGGGTTGTATCCATATGGTTGAATGCACATATTGTAAGTCACTTTAGATAAAAATATCAGCTAAATACATTTTATATAATGCAAATATGCTGGTAGGTGTATTTTCTTAACTTTGGACTGAGCGAGACTAGCTGCTTCCTGTCTCCATGCTAAGCTAAGCTCCATACATGGGGTAAGAGGCAAGGTGGACAGGTTGCTGATCTATCTTCAGTAGTAAATTACAAATATAATATAATTTATTGTTGTTTTGGGAGACATAAAAACAGGATGTTAAATTAAAAATAAAAAAAAATGTACAAATGTTAGTTATTAACAGCACCAACTCCGTTTAATTTATTTTAAGGTTTGAGACCACAGTCTCAAGGTGGCTTTAAGAGGCAAAAATAATTAAATGGATGGAAATGCGTAACTGTGCCATCATCCAGAGTGGCAGTCAGTGAGCAAAGTGCTCTCTCTTGATTTCTTCAAAAGTCCCTAGTGGAAACTTTGCCTGTGGGGAGTTCTTTGCTAGTCAGTCTGGTATTTTTCACTTTATTTTCAGCATTTAAACTGAACCACAATATACACTCAACTACTCAACACAGAACAGCAGTGAACCTCTCCACAGCAGAGAAAGTACTGTACCATTAAAACTTCTGTATAGCCACTCATCTTATTAAGGGCAGCAGCAAGTGTTAAATCAAGAAGTTCATAATTAGTTTGTGTGATTGTGTATCTACTATGGACCTGTGTGGTTATTTTGTATTATTATTGTTTTGCAGCTCTAATCCATCATCCAGTTCTCTGAATCCCCTCTGCTGTTGCAGCCTGGGGGAGTGCCGGGCCGTTAGCCAGTCAATCAGCCACCTAGGCTGCTGTAGCCTTCTATAAATACTGCATGTATGCAAGTGTGTGTGTCTGTCTATGGGTCCTTCTGTCTGTTTGTTTGTGAATCTCAGAGCAATCATTCATAAAAGGTTTCTCTGTGGTGTTTGCCACCTCAGGAGGGGTTTGATTCTGGATTAAACCACTGGGCCAACAAGCAGGATTACACTCTGGGAGGGAACATGTGGCACTTTTGAACTGGGGTTTATCAAACCCCCTGGATCTCTACATAAATCAGAGTTCACTGGTGTTCAGTTAAGCTGCATGAAATGGGCATTACTGTAATAATAAGATGCTCTTTAAGTGTTTCCACAATAGAAAGTCTGTGCCCAGTGCAATGGCAGCTTTCAGCACATCATCTACTTTTTCTGTAGAATGATTTGTATCCCAAACGTCTGTATCTAATAAGTGAGGCTGTAGACTTACTGTATTAGCTAAAGGGTATTGTATGCATCAGCGCTAGCCCTTTATAATCTTAAAAACAGGTCTTTTATGGTGTCTTCTCAGGAAGTATTTCATAGAAAGACCTCTGAAAACACCAGTCAGAGCCTTTTTATTACGTTATTATAAAGTTAAAATTATGAGGTAACTTTTGTGGAGAAATTAATATTTTCTTCCACTATAATATCTTTCTCTAGGTTCATTAATGACTATATACACTTGCTCTTTGATTGTGAGGTAGTAATGTCAGTGTATTGTTGGTGCTCTGGCAATACCTCAGAATGAAATCATGCCATTTTCAGTTGGCCAGTTACACATGAGACATATTAGACATAAGAACAATTCTCCACTAAAATCTGCCCCAGAAATGGAAACTGATTGTTTTGTGGGAGATTTTTCAACACAATTTACTCAGCAGAAAGCACAAACTGCACTAACCATCGACCGCTGACTCTTTTCATTACCTCCATCAGCAAACAACAATATTAGCTTTGACAAAGACATAGTTAATTGATGTCAGATTTAAAGAAGAAGGCTGCATTTTTAAAGTGTGCGTCACAGATTCCCTGGTTAACGAGCATTTGCCGACCACTTCCTGTGTTTAGGAATAAGCCTAAAGTTGGACATCCACAATGTGTTAATTAGTGGATTTTGATATGTTTTTTTTTACGACAACTGAGAAATGAGATTAGAGTAGTAAATAAATGCTTTTATTTTTCAGGTTGTGAGGGAGGGGAGAAAATAAACCCACATATTTTGTTGTAAGGAGCTCTACTTGTTTGACAAGGCATTTGTCTGTTTTTGCATAATTGCTTCCAGAAAGGCGATATTTTTGGACAGCATGACGCAAGTAAGCATAAACACAGTAATTAGTGCTTAGGAAACTGCAGGAAGCCGAGAGAATAGGACAGAGAAGGAGGAAAAGGGACATTTGAATCCACCACGGTGTTATTAATGTGACCAGCAGTACAAAGCATTGACCACCTCCTGGTCTATCGCAATTGGATGGCAATAGCATTTAAAGAAGATATCCAGTATTTTGTAAATCTTTGCTTTTGATCTGCTGCACAAGCCAACACCTTCATATATTCAGAAATAGACATGATATTTGTTTCTTAGGAACAGGCAGCGGCATAGTGTAATTAATACACTCTTAAAAATAAAAAAATAAAAACCTTTCTAATGGTCCTGTTATTTCTTCTCAGCATTAGTAACACAGAAAATTATAATATTTTACAGTGTAAATATTTGGTGGCAGTTTTGAAAAAATCTGTTCTTAATCGAAACCAGCGTTTATTGCAGCCACATACCAAATGTTCCGGTGTTAATGGCTGTTTTTTTTTTTCATTATTATTTTGAATTGTCAGCTATTGATTAGAGTGTTGTTTGTTAGAGAAATGATCTGATTGTGGGACTCCACAACCAAACCACCATATAAATCATCAACTAATATTAATTTAATTTGATGCATTTTTTTTTGCATTTGGGATGCTGCAGGTTTGGCAAAATAGCTGTTGAGAAGGTCTTCCTCCTCCCTTTCCTCCTTTTTTTCCTTTTTCTTTTTTCTTTGTCCTCTGGCCCTGCTCCTGCCAACCCACTCCTTGGAACATCTGCAATAATGTGCTCACCCACACTAAACAGCAAGCCCTTAAAATACATGAATCATCCTGGAGAGAAAAGGGTGTGTATGTGGATGTGTGTGCCTCTTTATCTCTATTTATGGGCCGTTCAGTAACATATGAGAAACTAATTTGTTTTTTTATATGTCCACATTGGTGCATATGTTTGAGAGAATGATTGTGTGTGTGTGTGTGTGTGTGTGTGTGTGTGTGTGTGTGTGTGTGTGTGTGTGTGTGTGTGTGTGTGTGTGTGTGTTCCTGATCCTAAAGCTTGAGGGCTGTGTGGGCAGAAGCGTCCTGTGCCGGTATAAATTGATTTCCAGAATCCAGACTCTAGGTGCTCTATGAGAGCTGTGTGCTTCTGCACCCATTTATGAAAGGTGGTAAAATGGTTTATAGCTGTGTGTGTCTCTGTGTGTGTGATGTGCGTGCGAGAATGAGCAAGAAAGAAAGAGAGAGAGACCGAGAGACAGACGGAAAACATACAATGATACCAGAAATGTAATGTCTGTTTCCATATCGACCAAGTTGGTCAAGAGTGATTTGTTTCTTGATGGACCCAGCAATCTGTGGGAAACAGACGGTTATTTGTTTATTCATCACTACTAGTTTACGTGCATGTCATATATGTGTGTAAGTCCTTTGTTTATGCATAAAAAGACAAAGAGAGATGTGGAGTGTCAGAGAGAGTGAGATAAACAGTGGGGCGGTGGAGAGACACACACACACACACACACACACACACACACACACACACACACAGTCTGCATTTAGGAACAGTGGTTATCCAAAAAATGACAAACCCATCACTTTCTTGGCAGGCAGTTCCACCAGTTTAGCATATTCATTACAATGTGGTTTACATAAAGCAGGTCTCGCTGCATACAACAGGCTAATGATGGATGGCGGCCATTAAGTCTCTATGTAATTCCCTTCTTGTAATTAATATTGATTTTTAAATCAGCCAGCATGAACACATTTTAATTGGTAACTAAATTTCTTAAAATGTCATGGCTCCCCCAGCACAGAAAACTACTACCCAATGAGGACTTTATCTCCAAGTCCAAATTCCTTTGGATTAAACATCTTCGGTTGAGTTGTTACTCAGTGAGTATTGAAGGCTGAAGGAGTTTCTGCTGTTTTCCACTATTATGGAGCTGAAGGAGTTGGGAGCTGTCCATTGCTGTGGTGCTGAAATGTTTTTTTTTTTTACCCCAAAGTCTCTCTACTGTAGCCCTTCCTAACTTTTTTGGCTTGTGACCCATTGAAACAAACCTTGTCATATCCACCAAGTGACTGCTTCTTCTCAGACAGAGAATGTCGAGGTAAAATGATTCAACAACACATATTAAAAGATTCAAAGAAAAACATATAAAAAAAACATACATCCTACCATGTTAACCATCTCCATACCCTTTAAATGTATCCTGCGACCCATTAGAGGGTCCCGACCACCAGGTTTGGAACCGCAGCTGAGCAACATGTCTCACAACTTATGTCTTTATTTAATGATTTCAAGCTACCAAACCTCAGATAAAGTGTTAAATATTAAGTGACATCAGTGGGTGATTAAATAACAATGCCAGCCACTCGCACACTCTCTCAGTGAACAGCACTGATGCAGTTTGCAGGGTGACAGCAACAGCAGCAGCACCGGGGCATGGGCAGCAAGCACTTGAGTGTAATTCCGTGTGGGAGGAGGATGGGTGTGTTTGAGAGTATCTAGCCTTTTTTTCCTCCTCACACGCTCTGCTGTGCGCACAGACTGAAGACAAAGCGCAGAGAGGAGTCCAGCTCTCCATGTGATGTGCAGCCGGTCGGTGAGAGCGCAACAGTAATCTCAGATACTGTCCTAGAATTTTCTATTTTATTTTATTTTATTTTTTAAAATTGACGCTGCATGGACAGTTAACCAAGTGCGCCTCTGATTTTTTTTTTTTTTTTGCTGGTGTCCACTCACTCAGCGCCTACCCCCCCTCCCCTCCTCCCTCCCTCCTCTCCAGCTTCAACAACTGTGAAGTGGCTGCCTCACCGGGTCGGACCGGAGGCCGTCTGGTCTCCGATCTGGTCTCTGGAGTCAGCGGAGACTCGACGCGCTCCGTCAGGACCAGGCTGTACGGTTCGCGGATCGGACCTGAGCCACCCAGAGATCTGGTGATGGAGATGATGGAGGGAGACGTTATGGACAAGCTAGAGGACATGTCATCGGTGTACGACTTCGACCCGATAACCGGCAACATCCCCGCCACCAAAGTAGAAATCACCGTCTCCTGCAGGTGAGTGGAAGCGTCCGCCGGACACGGTCAGGAAAGTTCGGTGTGCAGTGTGGTAGAAAAGTTGCGACTGCGCCCCACCCTTTCCGTGGGATTTACTTTGGATTGTTCAGTGAGAGGGTGATCTGTAATGAATGGTGACAACTTATCCGGCACAGTGGTAAAACGCATTATAGCTGCAGGTTTTGGGTGGGGACAGAGTTGGTTTACTTATCAAGTAAGTTGTTTTTTTAATCTATCAACTAAGACTCTTTGCAGTGAGAGATTTTGATGATTTGTTTGAGAAAAAGTAAAAAAAAAAAAAAAAAAAAAAAAAAAAAAAAACTTAAATGCATGCATGTGTTTCACATCCATTGCTGTTAGATATTAAAGGGAAAAAAAGGGTGAGCCATGTGAGACAAACTCATTGTAATGCTGAGTGATAACAGTAAGAACCACCTTATGTGGTTCGTGGTGCTATACATTGTACCAAAATGTAAAAATGTAATCTAATCTGAGCACATAATTGAGGCTGCTTTGTCTTCCTTCTGTGGATATATGGATGGCAGTGTATATTAGACACATCTCCTCTTGTAGCATCTGTTCATGCAGAAGCCTCTTTCATATTGAAGCCCATACTGTCTTCGCTGTAACCACTGGCTGCTTTTAACACCAGCAAAGCACTGAAAGCCTTTTTCCTTCCTCTCCTGCATTCTTTACAAAGTACTGGATGTTAAAGATTCAAAGGTTTACATCACATTCACACAGCGCTAGTGTCCCTGACCTCAATCTTAGTCCCATTCTTCATTATTCAGTTCAAAGGTATTTCCTTTTCAGACAGTGCTTCAGGAAAATAAATCCGCCCTCAACAAATGAATTTCCCTGCAGCGCTTGTTCAGTGAGAATAAACAGCCACTCCCCTTCCCATTAGCAAAGGTTTTAAAGTCAGTGCTTTCAACGCCTTTTGCCTCTCAGACATAAACTCAAGTGCTGGCATGTGTGCGCATCCTCACACACACACGCACGCACACAATCTTTCTGGTCTTTGATGCTGGATCTTAGGTTGGTGAGCCATCGAAGCAGAGTGAGTTTGAGCTATAACAAGCTGTGTGTGCATTATTGATGGGGTTTCTGATGTTCAGTGAAGCTCGCTGCCACATCTCTCAGAGCGCAGAGTAAAAAAAAACAAAACAACAACAACCCAGACCCTGGCAAGAAGTGAGTGTGTTTCAATTTGCTGAATGAACAACGGTTTGCCTGTTTGTGTTGTGTAGGAAATGGTGGGTGATGGTAGAAAATCAGTTTAGAGGCAGAAAGGACGGCTAGCAAAGTGTTGCATACGAGTTGGAGCCTTGCATGGTTTGGGATTTTGTGTTTTTCAGCTTGTAACGATGAGGTGATTGGGATTACATGCCTCAGTGATGCAATTAAACACCATTCAGGTAAATGATGAATCCTATTCTGACAACCCCCTGCATTTATGCAAATTCTTTCTCTGACAACGTGTGTGTATGTGTGTGTGCTCCTGTGCTGTTGTGGTGCAGATGCCTCCTACTAGAAAGGAGTTTGGAAGAGGAAATCATTAATCGAAAGGGGAGGGTTGATGCTTTCCCTCCTGTTTCTCTGACGCTTTGAGGTGTGTGTGTGTGTGTGTGTGTGTGTGTATGTGTGAGAGAGAGACAGAATAAGAGCAAGAGAGAGCAGGAAAAGTTGTGAGAGTTCATCTTAGTAAAGCACACATTTAATGCATACAAGATTAAAACTTTAAATGACGTAATTATGATGTAATTTGTATGGAATACATATATGTAACATACTCTGAACAAGCTTACTGATTAGGGGGTGGGTTTACTGTGATCATGCTTGATATAGGGTTGCCATGGATAGCAGATGAGCTTTAAAGAACACCTTGACTCTACAAAAGATAAAATTTTCCAACATACACTGCAATTTCTGTTAAGTTATAATAAATGGTAGGCGACTGTAGCACTCTTGAAGCAGAAGAACACAACAGTTAAATCTTTCTGTCACATTCAAACACTTATAACAGTTATAACAGTTCAAGGCCTCACAAATCCTCTAAATCCGCTTTAAAGATGTTGTGTGAGTCAGATTCCTATTCAAGAGAAGAGGCTCCCTGTTGGGTCTTCTTCACTATTCTCCCTTTGTCATCATGTACAATCTCTAAAACCTCCAAACCATGATGATAGCTGTTCCCTCTGGGTTAATACCCCTTATTTAAGGCTACACACCCTGCTTTTGACAACATATCATTATCAGGACCAGTGACAAATGAGGGGGGGGGTGATAGGAATTGGTTTGTCTTTCATTAATGGAGGGGAGGAGACTGACGGATTTGGTGGCAGGAAGTTGCAAACGTGGAGTTATTCTGCATTTGCAATCTGTTTAGTGCTAATTTGAGAATCAGGATTTAGTTTTATATATAATATATGAACAGACAGACACCATGTGTCATTTCAAGCACATTTGTTTAGTGGGAAAGCTTGAAACAGTTTGACACTACAGCAAAATAGTGGGGCCAAAATGCAACCTGTGTCTTGTGTCTGGTGTTTACACTCCCACAGGGCTTGTCAGTCAATGGGCTGGTTCCTGGGGATAAATTAAGGGAGAAGGGTGCAATTGGCATGTGGACAGGAAAGCGGAGGTGTTAATCCTGCAGCCACAAAGCCAAAGCCGAAGTCCTCAGTTCAGCCCTGTGTTCAATCCCTCCATTGCCATTCACAAGCTAGTTGAAGTCTGTTGTCCCATTCCTGCTCCACTGTCTGACTGTCCAGTCAATTCAAACATCATAAAGAAGTACTTATGTGTCTAATGTGCCCCATAGCCATTTACCAGTCTCAGCTGATGAGAGACTGTCTGGCTTGTGTATTGAAGAGTAGGTCAGTCAATGGAGGAGCACCATCTGCTGAGAGTGGTATTGATAAGCAATGAGCTCATCTGGCATTACTGGTAGCTATGTTGCTGTGTGCTGGAGCCAATGCAAGAAATCCGCATAACTAAGCAACTACGATTTGGTGTTTCTAAAGCGAATTTTATTTCACCACAACTGTAGACCCACATCCCCAGTTTGTGCCTCTCATGTATTATCATTACATTAAGTTAAGCATCAGTCTTTCTGAAATCCCCAAATCTTACCCAGAAGGTAGTTTCCAGAATCCTTAAAGACTCCTTTAACCATCTGGCAAAAAAATACTAATTTGACGCACAATAAAAACATTAAAAAAATTTCCCCTCAAGATGAAGCTCCTGACAAACATTATGTCCTCACTCTAGAGACCTGATTGAGCCTGCCTGGTACTGCTGAATTTGAAAACAAAACCTGACCCAAGACAAGGATATATTTTTGTTATTTCTCCTTCAAAGACAAAGTTATGTGCTTGCTTTAGAGAGCATTTTTCACATATAAAAAATAAGTTATCTGAGTAATAGACCAAGCGAGAATATCAGCCCACCAGCACAAAACCTAACTTCTAATAAGACTTGGGTTTAGTAGCAGTACATTGGGGAATTAAAAGAAACAACCCTTTTGTAAGTTTTTGCTTTGTTTCATCCAGTACTGACTGGTAACTTGCTAGGCTAATGCAATGCATTCCCAGTGTGCATCACGTATGTACTTGCAACACATGACATACATCAACTCAGACAATTTACAGAGTCAAGAAAAAGAGAATTATCTTAAATTTAATTTGAAAATAACTTGAGCCTGAAGCTTTATGCAAAAAAACAAACAAAAAAACGTTTGACACACTACCTGTTGTGTTACCTGCAGGGTTAGTGTCAAGTTGCTTGTTTTGTATGACACATGAAATATATAACAGCATTATTTTCATCTGAAAATATAAAATAATAGAAAGTAACATTAATATAGAGAATTATAACTGATAATAAAACTGACCAAGGAGATATGTACTTTCTGGCTACCATCTTTGGATTGGGATGGTTAAATCTTTTTTTATGGTTAGAACAAAGGTAAGTGTTGTTAAAAATGACCTTTTTGTTATTTTAAATGTCACTGGGTATTCATTTTTCAGAAGAACAGATGCTCTGTGACTCGGATATAATGATAAAAATACATGAGAGGCAACATTTAGGGCTAGGCAAGACCATACAGTCAAGATCAAAATCAAAATTTATGAGGGTTTAGCTCTAACAGCCCTCTACTACTGGAAAAGATTGATTCTATAGTAAATGGCAAAATCTGGAATTCATTTTAATAAAGGGTGAGTTGATGTTAAAAAGTAAAAGAAAAAACATGTTTCTAACTAAACATCAATTTTAAGAGTATATCTGGTTGTCAGAATATTACTGAATGCATCTTACATGTATGTGCAAGGGGATGATTGGTGGGTACCAAATAGAGGTTAGGAAGGGTGAGATGTGACTATCTGCCAACGAGCACCAGGTCAAAGTTCACACTGACTAAACTCAGAGCAGAGAGAACCAATTAAACCATTATTGGATTGTCCATTTCTTGAGTGACACCAAATCTTCGATCTGCAGTGAGGTGAAGATGGATCTTGTAGTGGCTGAATTTTACTCTAATTGGTGGCTTGTGGTCGTGATATAATGATTCTATTCCTGTAGTTAGTGCGTGGCTCCCCAACAGCGGGGATGTGGGATTTCTCAGCTTGTTTCCTGAGTGCAGGGCAGGCATTGCATGTGTTGCTATGATCAAATTCCTCTGCTAAATGTCTGGATGGTCTGCATTTGCATATAGATTTGCGCTTACGAGGACCATGATTCCAGCATTTGATAGGTTCCTTTAACGGATCTGGGACGGATATGAAAGCATCTCACACAGTGAAGAAAACCCCTCGGGAGACCCAACAACACGGCTTCACATCACTCTGATTTCCCTTGCTCTTTCACTTCTCATCTCTCTAGGTCTGAGCACTTTTGCTGTGAATATGTACTGCACCCAAAGCATCACTGAAGCTAATTAACCATATGAAGAATGTGGTTTATAAAACATGAGCTCAGCGTTGCAAACTGCAACATAATTT